TGGTGATTTTGGGTGTGGCCACTTAGCAGTTCAATTTATTTTATTTATATAGTGCCAATTCCCCATACTTGTCATCTCAAGGCACTTTTCAATTCAACCAGATCATACAGTCAAATTGATTTAAACTTTTCTATCAAAGGGAAACCAGTTAATTGAATCAACTCATTGACACGAAGGCAATCCCTCACACTAAGCATGCAGCGACAGTGGAGAGGAAATACTCCCTTTTGACAGGAAGAAACCTCCAGCAGAACCAGACTCTGTGAGCGTCCACCTACCGAGGCCGACTTAGGTTCAATGAGACAGAAGCAGACATACAGTAAGAAGCAGAGATATAAAAGGCGACTGTAAACCAGCTCCACAGGGGGCCCCGTCTAGGACGAGCCCTGAGCCAGTTTCTTTGTCAGTGGATGAAGAGAGCACATCCAGCCAGTAACAGTCAGATTGGCTGGGTTGGGTTGTTTTTAGAATGTGATGAAGATGTGTGTGAGCCCAGTCAGACTGGTTGGATGGACAGATGACCCTCTCTTAGCTTCCCATTTATGCTTTGACTAAGGATCTTGTTCCATATCACCTCCTACTGGTCTAGAACACTTCAGTGATGCGGTGTAAAGGGCTCGCAGTGAGCTTGATGGAGACATTTTTGATTTATGCCCAATTTTGAAGAGTGGGCTGCGCTATGTTATTCCTCGCCACAACGCAAGATGGACAGTCACAAACTAGCTGTGGGTCCAGATATGGCCGAGGCGGTGAGGAAGTGGGAGCGTGTGTTCGACAACGGAGGGACATGAGGGCGAAAAAGAGTTGGGATCCAGGTGGAAAAAGGGTCACAGCGTTCTTGCGCACCTCACTCTTCTAGCTTGTCCAACTTCACGAGTCGTTTCCGCAATAGTGGTCATACAAACAAAAAACGCCGGTAAGGTACCAAACAGGAAATACGCATGAGTAGGGCGGATGCAGATTTGACCAATCAGAGGCCTCCTGTCTGCAGCACTGTCTGTGGTCACCTACAATCTGGGAGAGGTGCAGCAGAGTGTCTGCGGGGGGGCAGGGATGTCTTTATGTTCACTGTGACACTTACGCTGAAAATCTAGTGTCGAAGTATAAATCAGCCTTAAGTCGCTGCTTTTCTGAACAATTTTATTTTTTGCAACTTAAAGCATTTTCCCTTTGCCCATGTTTTGGTGTTTGCTGACCTAATTTTGGAGAATTTGCTGTAAAATAATTTCTTCACACCCCTTGGTCATTGTAGCATCCATTCCTACATATAGATATCCATCCATTCATCTATCTATCTATCTATCTATCTATCTATCTATCTATCTATCTATCTATCTATCTATCTATCTATCTATCTATCTATCTATCTATCTATCTATCTATCTATCTATCTATCTATCTATCTATCTATCTATCTATCTATCTATCTATCTATCTATCTATCTATCTATCTATCTATCTATCTATCTATCTATCTATCTATCTATCTATCTATCTACTCAATATAAGGAGCAATGCTTCTAAAATGTTTTCATGTATGAAAACGGATGATTTGCTTCCATCTACAGGTTTCTGTAGGCATTGCAGATCATCCTAGAAAAACCAAAGGAAGTTCTCTTTGTTAAAAACCAAAACTAAGTATTTAGAATTGTTTTTATAAGACACAAACATTTTTTTTCTGCTTGTAACAGCTTTCTGTCCCAACAGAGCTCTAGGTGACTATAAAGTCATAGTCTGTCCCTACTGAATTGTATTTTTCTCCTTCAGGTACCCCTAGAAGCATTCCGTCGTCCAGGACCGACAAGAATCCCCAAACCAAAGGGATTCACCTCCCAGAAGGGCACAAATAACCCAGCATCACACCCAGGACAACCACTGCTGGCTCCTGGAACGGGAAGGGAGTCGGCCTCACACACATCTTCATCACATTCTAAAAACAACCCAAACCTGGTGAACCGCAGAATCTGACAGCAGTTCTTCTATTCCCCACTAATCCAACTACAATAGACAGTATAGATATTGTGCTGAATAGATTGATTCTGTTCTTGTTCCACTTCACAAAATCTCCATCTGTGGTGCTGTGAAACTGACTTCACACAGCTGTTTACTGTGTCTGTATTATATTCTGTGAACACATGTTGTAAAAATATCTCATTTAATAACCCACAAACTATTGAGGATAAATTAGTAACCGATCTAAGGATTTACAGATTAATGGCGATGAAATAAAAATATGAGATCGAAGCGTATGATAGCCTATATGTATGTGTTGAATAAAAACTGTATGTATGTTTTCATTGTGAATATTGGTACAGGTCTAGATAATAGAAGAAGTATTTATCCCTTTCAGGAGATGGGACGCAAGTATATTTTAAAAAAAGAAAAAAACAGTGGCAATAATGTACAGAGTGACTGAGCTGTAATGCAGCTTCTTTGTTAAAATGTGATGTGTTATTTTTCAGTCCAATAAAAAGCCTTTTCTACTTCTTGCTTTCTCTGATCTTGACCTTGAGTTGCTTCTGTGTGCTGCTCAATAATTCCCTTTCCCCTTTCCCTTCAGGAAGGGGGAAAGGGAATAACTGGTGATCCAGTGTTTATTATTAGGGAAATTTACAATATATTTTCTGTTCCCCTTTTCTTTACGTTTACAAATTATGTTAATGTTGCCTGCTGTGTGACCAGGAAATAGATTATTTTAGGGAGCTACATTTCTTACAGCACTTTTTGATTAGCTTTTGAACATAGTCTTCTTGAACTTAAAGCCCAAGCTGTCTCTCAGTATACCAGATAACAAAACCATTTTGGTTCATTCCTTATCTTCAACTTTAGGATACTTGCAGCTGTGTAGAAACTTCAGGTTAAATCCAACATGCTAATATACCCTCCTAATTATTACATACATGAAACGGGAATCATGTTAAATCAAAAGATAAGTTCAGATGGATCCAAATGCATGTTTTTTTGTCTTTAGTTAAAGTCGTAGGGAAAACAACAATTCCAACCGTTGCATTTCTGAATTCTCCCTAGTGGTGCCCAACTTTACAGGAGTTAATAAAGTGAATGTGATTGGTTGATTATCAAGGGGGCGGGATTGTTGTGGCGGAAGGTTCGCAAGCAAGTTTGGTTGTGGCCGGTGTCTCAGAAGCATCTTGCTAACCAGTTAGCAACTTAGTGCTAGAAGGTTCCCTATGGGAAATTCCATTGGGACCCAGTAGCACTAAATTGGTGACTTAAGAACGACACTGTCAAGGAACGCTATGGACAGCGGAAACATGCAAGAGGATGAGAGTTTTGTGTCGGAGGTCGTGGATGAGTCTCTTCCGTCATACATTTTTTATTCAGTGGAAAGTGGGGATGAAGATGTTGTGGAAGAGGACGCCAGGGTGGCAGAAGCTTGGTTTGGTGTAGAAGGCTTCCAGCCGTACATGTTTGAGCCCTTGCCTCGCAACGCTGCCAGTTCTGTTAGCTCTACGCCTGCCGAAGACACAGACGTCCAAGCCCGTGAACACTGGGACGGAACTCAATAGTAAAGCAATAAAGAATTAATTATTCTTATTTCCTATTCCAACCGTTATGCATATAAATCAATATATTCATATATATATATATATATATATATATATATAAACAGTGGTCAATAACAAAAGTTCATCTCAATACTTTGTTATATACCCTTTGTTGGCAATGACAGAGATCAAACGTTTACTGTAAGTCTTCACAAGGTTTTCACACACTGTTGCTGGTATTTTGGCCCATTCCTCCATGCAGATCTCCTCTAGAGCAGTGATGTTCTGGGGCTGTCGCTGGACAATACGGACTTTCAACTCCCTCCAAAGATTTTCTATGTGGTTGAGATCTGGAGACTGGCTAGGCCACTCCAGGACCTTGAAATGCTTCTTACGAAGCCACTCCTTCGTTACCCGGGCGGTGTGTTTGGGATCATTGTCATGCTGAAAGACCCAGCCACGTTTCATCTTCAATGCCCTTGCTGATGGAAGGAGGTTTTCACTCAAAATTTGATGATACATGGCCCCATTCATTCTTTCCTTCACACGGATCAGTCGTCCTGGTCCCTTAGCAGAAAAACAGCCCCAAAGCATGATGTTTCCACCCCCATGCTTTACTGTAGGTATGTTGTTCTTTGGATGCAACTCAGCATTCTCTCTCCTCCAAACACGACGAGTAGAGTTTTTACCAAAAAGTTCTATATTGGTTTCATCTGACCATATGATATTCTCCCAGTCATCGTCTGGATCATCCAAATGCTCTCTAGCAAACTTGAGACGGGCCTTGACATGTACTGGCTTAAGCAGGGGGACACGTCTGGCACTGCAGGATTTGAGTCCCTGGCGGCATAGTGTGTTACTGATGGTAACTTTGGTCCCAGCTCTCTGCAGGTCATTCACTAGGTCCCCCCGTGTGGTTCTGGGATTTTTACTCACCGTTCTTGTGATCATTTTGACCCCACGGGGTGAGATCTTGTGTGGAGCCCCAGATCGAGGAAGATTATCAGTGGTCTTGTATGTTTTCCATTTTCTAATAATTGATCCCACAGTTGATTTCTTCACACCAAGCTGTTTACCTATTGCAGATTCAGACTTCCCAGCCTGGTGCAGGTCTATAATTTTGTTTCGGGTGTCCTTTGACAGCTCTCTAGTTTTGGCCATGGTGGAGTTTAGAGTGCGACTGTTTGAGGTTGTGGACAGGTGTCTTTTATATATATACATATATATATATATATATATATATATATATATATATATATATATATATATATATATATATATATATATATATATATATATATATATATATATATATATATATGTATATATATATACATATATATACATACATATATATGTATATATATGTGTATATATATATATGTGTATATATATATATATATATATATATATATATATATATATATACACATATATATATTTAGCTTGACTTTCACTTTAACTAAAAAAAAAGGAAAAATAGCAACTAAGGGTAATTTCATTCCCGTCCAAATGTACATCACTAATAATAAGTGAGTAACAGTTTTTGTACATTTAGGAAACACTTTTGGAAGGATGTATACCAGCAATGGTAAGGAGAAAATACCATTAGTGGTAGCAAACAACAAAACTTAGGGTTTACCAATCATAGTTAGGAAACATCATGAACTCAGGACAAGAAATGAGTTGTAACGGTTGTGAACAGTGCCACAAATAATTTTTCAGCAGTCCAGGGATTTGATGTCATATATTTGTTAATCCCTACAGAGACATCTATAATGTCTGGCAGTGGAGGGGATGGTATTGGATGGAGAGGTCTGATGATCAATGGTGTTCATTCAGGGAGGAGTTTATAGCCGAACGCAGCACAGACAGGAAGTATTCCCTCTCCTCTTCTTGCTCCATTGCACAAACCCAAGAGCGGTGTGGTCCGTCCAAGACGAAGGCATGACGCACATCTGGGTTTAAAGGAAAAAGATCGCTGTGTGTCAGGAATTGATGGGGGATCAAACAAAAAGGAATACTTTAAATAAGGATATACAGGTGCTGGTCATAAAATTAGAATATCATGAAAAAGTAGATTGATTTCAGTAATTCCATTTAAAAAGTGAAACTTGTATATTATATTCATACATTACATACAAACTCATATATTTCAGATGTTTATTTTGTTTAATTTTGATGATTACAAATGACAACAAATGAAAATCTCAAATTCATCATATCAGAAAATTAGAATATTGTGAAAAGGTTCAAAATTGATGGCCCCTGGTGCCACACTCTAATCAGCTAATTAACTCAAACCACCTGCAAAAGCCTTTAAATGGTCTTTCAGTCTAGTTCTATAGGCTACACAATCATGGGGAAGACTGCTGACTTGACAGTTGTCCAAAAGACGACCATCGACACCTTGCACAAGGAGGGCAAGACACAAAAGGTCATCGCTAAAGAGGCTGGCTGTTCACAGAGCTCAGTGTCCAAGCACATTAATAGAGAGGCGAAGGGAAGGAAAAGATGTGGTCGAAAAAAGTGTACAAGCAAGAGAGATAACCGCACCCTGGAGAGGATTGTGAAACAAAACCCATTCAAAAATGTGGGGGAGATTCACAAAGAGTGGACTGCAGCTGGAGTGAGTGCTTCAAGAACCACCACACACAGACGTATGAAAGACATGGGTTTCTGCTGTCGCATTCCTTGTGTCAAGCCACTCTTGAACCACAGACAGCGTCAGAAGCGTCTTGCCTGGGCTAAAGAGAAACAGAACTGGACTGCTGGTGAGTGGTCCAAAGTCATGTTCTCTGATGAAAGTAAATTTTGCATTTCCTTTGAAAATCAAGGTCCCAGAGTCTGGAGGAAAAGAAGAGAGGCACTTCATCCACGTTGCTTGAAGTCCAGTGTAAAGTTTCCACAGTCAGTGATGGTTTGGGGTGCCATGTCATCTGCTGGTGTTGGTCCATTGTGTTTTCTGAGGTCCAGGGTCAACGCAGCCACATACCAGGAAGTTTTAGAGCACTTCATGCTTCCTGCAGCTGACCAACTTTTTGGAGATGCAGATTTCATTTTCCAACAGGACTTGGCACCTGCACACAGTGCCAAAGCTACCAGTACCTGGTTGAAGGACCATGGTATCCCTGTTCTTAATTGGCCAGCAAACTCTCCTGACCTTAACCCCATAGAAAATCTATGGGGTATTGTGAAGAAGAAGATGCAATACACCAGACCCAACAATTCAGAAGAGCTAAAAGCCACTATTAGAGCAACCTGGGCTATCATAACACCTGAGCAGTGCCACAGACTGATCGACTCCATGCCACGCCGCATTGCTGCAGTAATACAGGCCAAAGGAGGCCCAACTAAATACTGAGTGCTGTACATGCTCATACTTTTCATGTTCATACTTTTCAGTTGGCCAACATTTCTATAAATCCTTTGTTTTTATTGGTCTTCAGTAATATTCTAATTTTCTGATATGATGAATTTGAGATTTTCATTTGTTGTCATTTGTAATCATCAAAATTAAACAAAATAAACATCTGAAATATATGAGTTTGTATGTAATGTATGAATATAATATACAAGTTTCACTTTTTAAATGGAATTACTGAAATCAATCTACTTTTTCATGATATTCTAATTTTATGACCAGCACCTGTAAGATTCTCTTGTAAACTCACAGGGTGTGTGCAGGATTTCTCGGACGGTCAGACTGCTTGTAGCAACAGAGGCCAGGAAGGTGTGAATGCTCCGATGAGACACAGTGAAAGGGGTATGCTCTAACTTTCTTCGAGTCAGAACTAAAGCATCGTTGAACAGGAACAGTCCCACGTCGCATATATGCTCAAAGGTCCTATGTTATGGAACAAAACCAAAGGATCTTAAGATCTACAAATAGCTTCTTACTAACTAAACCAAACTGTAAATGCTTGATTTCAGCTAGTTGTTATAAAGTCTGACAAAAGGGTACATGCAGGTGTGTATGCCCCTTCTCTTTGCTGGTAGCCATAGTTTCCAAGTCCCCTTAGTCACGCTAATACTGTGGACCTGTATCTGTGTACTACTGTCAGCTTTAGTAACATAAAGGAAAGAAAACAACTGGAGGAAAGTAAAATGGCTCTGATTGGCTACTTTTCAGGAAATCTTGCCCCTTGAGACAGCACTTTTTACTTCCTGTTTTTGGGCAGTAACGGTTACTACCGATCCATACCAGAAGCATGCTCCATACATCAGCTAATTTGAGCATGTGCAATCAGATATTCATGCAGGTCCCCATAAAAATAATGTAATAATAGTACTAAAAGTACTTATTTCTATCCCTAAATCACTGAATAATGCTAATACACATCTTTTAAAAAAATTCTGACTTTTCTCTGACATTTTGATGCTTTTTTACATTTTCTCCGTGCTGCTTGTCTGACATCATCATCGGATATGCTCAGAGTAGTCCGGCAAAATATGATTAAACCATGTTTATGTGCATTTTAGTTGTTTCTTTCTTTAGATTATGCATTTTTACCATCACGTTAACATGAAAGGAAAACATAAAACATAAAGTCAAGATTTATGTTTAAATCCAAAGCCGAAAAAGTTTGCACCCGAAAGTAGCACAGATCGGGCACAGGTGAGGGAGAAAAACAGCATTTATTTTCTCAGGAAATACATTATTCACATTTAATACATTATAGTTTAGTACAGTTACTATTTTTAGGGAGGGAAAAACTTAATTTAGATATTTTTTACAAAGCGTCCCAGATGTATATCTGGTTGCACATACACAAATGAGCTGATGGTACGGATCATGCTACCAGTACGGATCGGGTAGTGACAGTAATTTTAGCAAAACTTTTCAATAATAACAGTAGCATTGTCACTACCTGATCTATACCAGTAGCACAATAATTACATACAGCTCATTTGTGCATGTGCAACTAAAATATCTGGGTCACAATTGATTCTATGAAAATAGACGAACATTACTTATTTCAGCTTTTGTGTGTTAGTTTTAAATAGAATTGCTGTAATAGTTATGTTGTTTCCCTTTTGGAAGAATTCTGACTTTATAATTACCTCAGTGAATCTGGAATCTGTTCATCCGGGCTCTTGAGCAGCATGGCGTCCTGCGTTATTATGAGATGCCTATTTCCTTCATTAAGGTTCTGAAAATAGAAGTATATAAAAAAAAAATTATAAATAGGAAATTATTCAAGGTGTGACTTTTTTTTTCTCTCTACCAAGTAATAAAGAATTAATCTGTGTCTTCTGACCGGACAGCCCTGTATCAGTTTCTGTGTCTCCTCCAGCTGCCTGCCTGCCTCTGAGTTTCCCTTTAACTAAAACAAGACATCATCAAAAAGCAAAAAAAAAAAATAAATAACAGAGAAGTATGAAATGATGCATTAAGATGGATCCAAGCTCTTCTACCTGCTGAATGAATGTTCTGAACTGCAGCATCGTGTTGAGGGCGGAGCAGAGGTCTGAGTAGTCGGGATGACCGGGTCGTGTCTGTGAGGTCAGAGCCTGAAGCAGAGTAACATACTCTTGGATTCGCCACACTGGACACAGCAGCAGCTCCTGCAGGCTTTTACACACTAAAAATTAATTAGGATGTAACATAATAACGTTTAAAAAGCAATCAGGGACAGAGCTAAGATTTTTCAAAGGGGGGTGCGCACCTTAATGTCAAGACAACATGGAACTAAATAACATAAAATGCCTTGTTAACTCTTTATGGGGACACGTGTGTGGGGTGGCGTTTCATTTCATGAAAAGGTGCATTTCTAAAGTAATATGATAGTTAGGGTGGAAACTTTGATTGATGTTGGTAGCAGACCAATGGAGATGAACTATGTGTTTTCACCCCTCGTTACTTACTTTTCATGGCTATAAAAAAATTACCTGTGGTGGATTATTACGACACGAGTTTATCTTATGGGAAATAAAACTGGATATTACTTTTCTGTGAAGTCTAACTGACAAAATTATACAGTTTTTACCATGATCTGTCAACATCCAGTTGGCAGAAGAGGTAAAAAATGTAAGTGCTGGAAGTTATGAATCATAAATTGATGACAGAAACACATCAGCCTCAAGACCAGATTGTAATGTCTCTGCAGTGGGCCTATAAATCTGATAGGGTCCTGCTGTTGAAGCTCCTTGAAAATGTTATTTGCACCTAGAACTGCAGTGAGAGGTGATGGAGAGATAAGATCGCTGGAGGATTTAAATCAGAGATCACGAATAAGTGGACCGCTGTTCGGATCCGGACCAGCCTGCTGGCTAATCCAGACCCAACATTTATAAGTTACTGCATTTTGTCCGAAGGCAGTGTCTTGCTTCTCTTGCGCCACTTCGTTGCTTTGTCGCCATTCATACCCAGTTTTAAAAACCTTGCAGGGCAGCATACAGCCCCATTAGCTCATTAAGCCATAAAAAAACAAAAACAAAAAACAAAAAAAACGGTCAGTTCAGGTGTTATATAAAATGTGTGAATCAGGAAATACCCAATTTTTGCTAACTGAAAGATTGTTGTTCTCTACTTAAAAAAGCACTTTAGATTTTAAAATGGGAAAAAAAATAATATTTATGTTTTTTTTTTTTTTTTATAAACTCAATGTATAAAATTCTGTTTAAAGTAACAGATTATAACTGAAAATGTCTCCCAAACTTTACTGGTTGTTGATTTTCTTTTTTCGGACCCAGAAGATTTTTAATAGGTTACCCCTGATTTAAATAATAAATGTAATGCTTAATTCTCATCTCGGGGATATGGACATATTATAAATTATATCCTGTTAGGTTTATTCTTTATTAGTCATATGTATTACCTATCTGTCAGCCAGATTAGATGAGGTGGACGGCCTTCCTTTGCATGGTGTATCACATTTTGGATATGAAGGCTAATTAGGACAGTCCTTCTGTCTGTACAATAAGCACAGGATAATGCTACATCCTGGAGCCAGATTGATAACGAAGAGCTATCTGTAATTCTGAGGTTCCTGCGGAAGTTGCTGGGTCTACCGCGGAGCCTGAGCAGCATCGCCCTATACGGAAAAAAGAACATGCTGAAGCTCCCCTTCAGCAGCCTGAATGAGGAATTCAAGGTGAGCCAAACTAGGGAGGTGCTGCAATACAGAGAGTCATGTGACCCAAAAGTCTCTCAGGCTGGTATCGAGGTCCTGACGGGGCGGAAGACGCTGTGGAAGTGGCGGAGTCAGGGCTGCGGCACAGGACTCTGGTGGGGACAGTGGCTCGGGGAAGAGCAGGCCTTGCTAGCAGCACAACATCTTCTTGCGGCGGGATGGCAAAGGAGAAGAGGAGGAGAACGCTGCTCCAGGAAGAAGTGCGGGCAGCAGTGGAAGAAGAGCGGGCCGGCAGGGTGCTTGGAATGCGGCAGCAGGGAGCCTGGACGCAATGGGAGCAAGCAACAGAGCGCAAAGTCACGTGGACTGAACTGTGGAAAGCCGAGCCCCAGCGCATAAAATTCCTGGTCCAGGCTGTATACGATGTACAGTATTGCCAAGCCCATCTAACCTGTTCTGTTGGGGGAAGGTGGAGTCACCAGCATGTGCACTGTGCCAGAAGAGAGGGACCCTGGAGCACATCTTGAGCTGCTGTCCGAGGAGCCTGAGTGAGGGGTGCTACCGCTGGCGTCATGACCAGGTCTTGAAGGCCATAGCGAACACCATCTGCAGTCGAATAGCCCATTGCAAGCGCCTCCGCCCAGCAAAGAAAACTATCTCCTTCATCAGAGCTGGAGAAGGACCACCAGCTGGTGCCAGGGTCTCTTCCTCTGGCCTGCTCACAATGGCACAGGACTGGGAGCTGATGGCAGACTTGGGGAAACAACTGAAGTAAAAGCACTTTACACTACATTCACGCACACAGTCATGTTTGCAAGCTACATTGTAGCCACAGCTGCCCTGGGGCTCACTGACAGATGCAGGGCTGCCATACACTGGCGCCACCGGGCCCTCTGACCACCATCAATAGACAATGCAGGTGAATTGTCTTGCCCAAGGACACAACGACACTGAAAGTCGGAGCCAGGGCTTGAACCGTCAATCCTTCGATTTCAGGGCAAACTCCTACATCTGACGCCCCTGTGGCTCTATGTGTTGTGTGTACATGTGAGGGCATTGGAGCGAACTGGAGCGGAGCGGAATCCGTGCTCCGGCCTTTGAATTGAAAACCGCTCTGCGCCCCACCATATTTCTTTCACTCCGCTCCACCGCTGGCTCAAATCACATGCTCTGACTACCGCCCATGGTTTCATGTGACTTCATGCTCCTGTGGTTGGCCAAAAGGTCAACATGGGAGTCAGGTACTGCATGGTGATTTACCCAACCAGCTCAAAGAATTAATTTTACTGACTGTCCATCCCTTTTTGTGAACACTTTCCACAGGATCTCTTCCAGATAGATACTGTTTAGTATTCAAACTGAACTACTCTGATCAATCTGAGTTATGCCAGCTTACAATACGTCATTTACTGCAGTTGACTACTATTTTTTCAACTGTTAAAAAAACAGGTTAGGATGTTAAATAAACACATGAAGAAAACATTGAAAAAGAAGGGGCACCCAAAAAATTTGGAAGCCACTGATTTATTGCAAGCAGAACTGGGTTGGTGTCATTTTGGCTTCTCACATTATTCAGTGGTCTCCACAGAAAGTCAGTAAGAGTTACTCATTGACTTGGCAAAGTTTTCACTTCGGATGCTCTTTGTAATATAACAAGAGCTCATTTTTCCAAACTATTGAAATTCCCCCTGAATCATTTTTGACTTACTGCAATAGGGTAATTGTAAAGTTTTCCAGCCAAAAGAAGACCATACTATGACAAATTATTGTTCTATTGGCAGTTAAGTCTGTTAATAAATAGTCCTTTGATACACAGTTCTTGCCTCTCTGCATATGGAACCACTCAAAGCTTTGTAGAAACCTAAACATGCTTTACATATGATGACATTGCCCCAAATTGTGATAAAATCAACTCCTTTTTTTTTTTTAAACAGAGTTGTCTGTACTGTAGTGTACAGTGCTCCCAAATATAACTGTTTTTTATATCACATAAATAACCACATGTTTTTACCTCAGCATATGTGTCGGCAGAGTTCTGTCTGCTCTCTTCAGAAAAGCCCGAAATGCAGGATTTGCTTCCCTGCACTAAAACAGACACAAGGTTGACACAACAAAATTTTTCTCCGTTGTAATATTCCTCTGAGAAGACTATGATTATTATAAAGCTATATTCTTTGTAGATTACCTTATCGATGGTGCAGATGGTGGTGATGTAGTTATTCAGGTAGTTAGTGTAGATGTTAAGTTTTGAGCAAAACTTCACAAACACATCTCCAACACACTGCTCTGCACCCCAATGCTGCAGCCTGGTCTGTAAATCTGCCTTAAACAAACTTAAAAAAAAAAAAATTCAAAAATTCTGCCTTGCCTGGTCCTGACAGCAGACTCCTAAAAATTATAAATCAATCACCTATGTACCTTTACCTGTGTAGTTGGACTATCACTGTAACAGGGCTGAAGATGATCTGGATGTCGTTATAGCCGAGGATTGGTCTGCTGGAGTTGAAAGCAGCCATTAGAGGCTCTTGGTACACCTTTACAAACAAGAAAAGAGATGATAACAGAATAAGCCATTGCATAGCTACATCAACAAATATATGTAATGCCATAAGCTATCAATTATGGTCATTGAGAACCAATGATTTTTTTTAATATTGACAAAGGAAGTTTGAGTCTTCTGTATTCTCTGCTGTTATTCCCACTCTTCCCTCAGCTTGAGGGCAAAGCAGCTGCTTCTTGCTTGTCTCATCCTCTTTTGTAGGTGCCAGCCAATAAAGAGACCGATGAATGAAAGACCATGCAGGCCACCGGAATCATAACCTTCTGACTGCCAAAGTTAAGTGAGTCTGTTGCTAATCTCAGAACCAGACTTTTCAAAACAGACTTTGTGCAATGTTTTACTCTTAGTTTAAAGGACATTTGGAGATGTCAGAAACTGGAAATGTAGAGCATCTGAGAAGAAAGGGTAAAGAAGAAAGCTTTCCTGCTCCAGCACTGACATGTTGAGATTTGGAGATGCCTCGCCTTTCTAAAAGTGAGATCAGAAGTTAAAGGTCTGGCTAGGAAGTTAGGAAATGAGTTTTCGTCTAAACACTTAATATACATATGATGAATGATGGGGCTCTGTTTTTCCTTAAGGATTTTGTTTGGTTCACCCTTTAAAAAAAGAACAGTGCCCACCCTTGCATATTTGGTTGAGGACCTCCTCTTCTTCAAACCCATGCCTCCTTCTCACTATAACTACTGCAGACATTTTTCTGTGCCTATTTGCTCCTGATGTGCTAAATAAAATGCAGTAAGCAGTTTAACGTTTGCGGGTTTTGCAAGTTTCAAGGAATTGCATTAGCATATAACTCATTCCGATGATCAGCATATGTTCTTAATATTGTTTAAGACAAACAGATCAAATTGTTTGCAAGTGAAAGGCAACAATCTGCTGAACTGGTTGCATATGCCTTGAAGTTGGAACATGTTTCTATACAGCCAAACCTTATCATTTAGTTTAGATATATTAATTGTTAAAGTGTGCCACAGGTTTACCTTCAGCACGGCTCTTAGCCTTCCCAGATAAAGGCGTTCACTGTGGAGCACCTCTCTACCGACCGAACATCTCCAATCCAAAGTTGACTAAAGAGGGGGGAAAAAATGCTTTATTATGTTTCCCAATTATGGAATGACTTTTGCTCTACTGTTTTTGAAGGCAAAGAAGACATTTTTTAAATTGAAATTTGAAAAAAAAAATGCAATACAGAAATTCCAAGTTGAAATAATTTTAATACAAAAATGGTTATGAGCAAAGTTAGAAACTTTGCAGTTTTCTTAGATTTTTAGAGAATTTATAATTATGTATATTTACATTCTTTAGAGATTTTATATTTTTTATGCTCTTTTTCAATTTTGGGTATATATTTAAAATTGTATGAATTACCTTGTTCACAATTCATAAATGTTTTTTTTTTTATCAAAAAAATGTTAAAAGAATTGAAACAGCTGAGTCTATAACATGACATTTTTTTTAAAAATCAGCAACAAAAAAAAATATATATTATAAAAAATATTTTCAAAAAAACAAATTCTGGTAATACAGCAATGTTATTCTCAAAACAATTCTTTGAGGAAAATGTTTTCCAAATTTTCATTTCTGGATTGCAATTTGTTTTTAATTTTACTTACAAAATCAGTTTTTTAAATGTAAAAATAATAGAACAAATCAGACTTCAAAGCTATTCACTATTATCAGAGCAGAAAGGGTGAAAAGAGAAGAACCTGGGGTAGATCCTGCATTAGGCCTTCATGTGGTGCAGTCTGACCATTTGCTGCTTGTTTCATCTCACCCTCCTTTATTTCAGTCCATCTGCTTAAGAAGCCGGAGATAAACTCCACAGGTCTGCTCTGAAGGTTTGAAGACAGATAAAGATTTACATGAGCTCCTTTTAAATGGTAAATTTCCACTTTTTTGATTCATTTAAAACATACATAGAGCACTTCTCACCTCTTTCTCTCTAGTTAAACTTGTAAGTCCCTCCGTCAGAGCTTCACTGAGTTCTCTGGACACACACAGCTTATCAAGGGATAATTGTTCCCACAGAAAAAGTCCTAGAAATAACAAAGAGATATGTTAAACTAGATCAAAGTAGAGCTGTGTCCTCATTGAATTTGAAACCCACCCAGAGCTCTGCCTCTGGCCTGAACACTAGCCTGCTGAAGCTGAAGCTCCAGGGTGGCCCTCAGTCGTACCAAAACCTCCTCCATCCACTCAGCCTGTCTACACCAGTTCAGCAGCACATCGTCAAAAATATACTGCAGAGGTGGAGCTGCCTGATCCTGTTCTACAGATGCAGCTGCACCAGCACCGCTGGACCATTCGCTGAGGACTACATTAATAAAAAACATAACCCATGACCAAAAACAACAGCTGTTTTGTTTTTGTTTGTTTTTTCTCTTCGGTAAAAGTAACTCACTGTTCTGGAAACTTCCTGTGGCGAGACCCAAAGGCGCTCGAACTACCAGACCAGTTAGAGTGGAAAGATTACGGATCAATGTAAGTCCTGATGCTGCGAGTAAGAAACAAAATAAGGGCAAACAGATGATTTAGCAGATCCTAAAAGTATTTCACAGATTTCAATGGGTGTTAATAAAAACATAAGTGTACCGGATGCAGCGAGTGGGCAGAAAATGTCTATCCCTCCACCTTGTTGACCGGGTGCCACCAAGGCGAAAAGCTGTTCCCAGAAATCCATTAAATCTGGGGATGATAAAGTTCTCTCGGACAGAATACTGTCTGAACGTAAGAGAAATAGAAATTTAAATAAACAGGATAACAGAAAAAAAAACTAAGGGCCCGTGTCACAAAGATATTACTCAACCTGTCTTTGTTATTTAACGGGGTATATTGAAGTTTAATTGCATTTTTTACATGTTTAAACCAATAGCTCACACCTGTTACTTCCAAAATGTGTTTTGGAAGCTTTTTGTGTTTCCAGTTTGTGTGTTTTTTTTTTTATTATTTCTGCTCAGTTTGTTAAACAGCGTAGCTTTTATTAACAAGCCTCATACAAATCTGGTCTACCTTAACCCTTTAAAGCCCAATTCAATAATAAAACAAAACAGAAAATTGCTTTTTTTGGTTTGAAGTCCTTTTTTGGCCTTTTAACAAAATATGTAAAAAGAAAAAACAGAAATACATTTTTGATATTTTGATATATTTTACTACTTTGCGATAAGTCAAGATTATTTCTTGTGTAGTCTTCTGCTCTCTGTTATCAGGTATATCTGATTGTGTACAATAGGATTTTGAGCAAAGTTTTTACCATTAAATTATGCAAAAGGTGTCAGACGCAAAACATTTCAGAAACCGTATGTATCAAATACGATACATTTGGCATTATAGGGTTAAGCGATTGATGCTGAATATATAGAAGTTGTGCTTGTTCTTTTCCTGTTGGTTCATTGTGATCAACATATTTAATCCTCAAGTGGTTTTGGCAGCTGTTATTTTTTGTCCCTACCTATCAGGCCACACCTATGTAAATGTCCTGGACACACCACTGCAAAAGACCTTCACTCAAAAAGCTGCTTATACTTTGATGAAAGTGGCAATGGTATTTCCTTTGCCAAGTTAAGGCTGAAAATTATGGTGGAGGGGCAGAAACCTCTTAAAACCTCTTAAAACCTCTTAAAACCTCTTAAAACCTCTTATTGTTTAGATGTCTGAATGGCAAAGAAGTGAACTGGGACTATTTGGACTTAAAGATACAGTGTGTAATTTTTAGCGACATCTAACATCTCTCCCCCACTGCTTCTCCCCCCCAACAGTACGGCGAGCGTTACGGGACAAAATGTCTTCCACGACGTCCGCATCACCTACCTTCTCAAGTGATGAGGTTTGTTTACATAGATAATTTTACAGATAGTATTTCATTAGTCTGTGTGTTCAGTACCGTCTCAGTTCATCTCTCTCAACTTGCCGTAGTTACTTTCGAGCGTAATGGGCAATCTCACAATCGCTAGTTTGTTGGCTCTGCGCTGCCGTAGCGCAAAGATATCTGCCTCCATGGCTGCGAGACCCGATCCTATGTAATTATAAATAACGAATTCTAAGGCAACGCAAATATTAAGGTTAAGAGGCTGAGCTCATAGATGATGATAAATAACATAGTTATGTATAATATATTACATTTCTGACTGTATATCCCTGTAATTATTACACACTGTAGCTTTAAGAGTGAAGTGGAAATAAGATTTTATATAAAGTTTTCTGTGGAGCAACATTCAAATGTTGTTTTTTATCCTGGAGACGACCAGGTTACCTTTATGTCCTTAATGAGGTTCCTGAGTCCCTAAAGTTTGGGTTTTGTAGATGCTTATTCATTGGCTCCAACTTCCTGACGAACTTACTTACTACTTACTAATTACATAGGTAGCTGATGATGGGAGAAAGGAATAAAAGGGGTGGTTACACGTAGAGAGAGAGAAGGAGACAGCGGCAGAGAGAATGACTGAAATGCTGCCAATGCTTGAGATTTGATTGGATGGGCAAGCATGGGTGGGAATGAGGCCGACACATACCTGGGGGAGGCACAATGGAACCTCAAGACTGTAAGGATTTAGGCAGTAGTGGGGCCATAGAGAGGTGCACCTGAGCTATGCATGAGAAAAGAACCCATCCAGGACTAGGGCTCGAAGGTAGACCTCAAAACGACCCCAGAAAGTAGTGGTGAACCCTCACCATCATCTGTCGGATTTAGTAATGTTGGTGTAGGACCTCTTTTTTTTTTAGGTTTGTCCATCACTAGTGGGCTGACAGGGAAACAAGGTATGAGAGAGAAATCGAGACATAAGGCAAAGGACCACAGGCAGATTCAAACCCGGGTCAGCCACGTCGAGGATTAAGGCCATCGAAGCACAGTCCATGTTGGTTTTGAAGCTTTAAGCTTTTTTGAGCATCCAGCTACACTTTAGGAAAAGGTTTTATTGACAATCCAGTTTCTAAGGGTTATTTTCTATTTGAATTTTCAAATTTCAATCTGGCTGATTTTCTGGCCAAACAGTGGCACTGTTGGGCTAATTAGTTTGTCAACCTAAAATAATGATAATACCACTCAGCCACCGAAGCCAACCCATTGAGTGCAAATTATTCGAAAAGACGACATGATTTACCTCCAAACCACGTCTACATTTGGTTGAAAAGTGAAAAATGTTCAGCTATTATCTAATACTGGACTGAAATGAGACAAAATAAGATTGAACAAACAGCACAATTTTCAATAAATTGACTAAATCAAGACCAGATTTGGCCTAAAAATCCAACATCTGAAAGACGTCTTGTGTTTGGGGGGCATCTTTATTTAGCGTTGGCACATCTTCACGGCACGTGTGAATGGCCAGTTCTTCACCAGGATTAGAGATCTTTGCTCTCCAGTTTACCCTTGAAAAAAATTACTATAAATATCAGTTATCAATACTTACTTTTTTAAACTGTAGCGACTGAGATTACTCCTTATTCAAGGTATTAAGAGAAGTGTTTGTCCTACAGTTACAAACAAACAGATATCTAAGAGTTCAACTTTCAAAAGGAGCTGATGGTATATAATGGATTACAGAACGTTGAATGTTAGTTATTTAAAAATCGACGCTAGCTGTAGCTCGAGTAAATTTACCTAAAATGAATAATGTCTCATGAAGACTCACCATTAACGAGATAAATCTCCTCTGTTCCTCCTGGAACTAAAAGCCCAATCCTTCGTACTTGCTGCCCTGAGACGGCCCTCTCCACCTGGGCTAAGAGGGCCGAGAGAGTCCCTCTGTGGTCATACAGAACCACTATCACTTCAGCCTTCAGTCCACTGAGCACCAGCTAAAAGAAAAAAGATGAGACATTAGTATATAATCTCTGCATTGAATGATATTTAATCAAATGAGTGATTTTAACTGAAAACTGAATCTTTAACTGAAGATTTTTTATTTGTTTGTTCGTTTTTTTACCTCATAAGCAGGAATTCTGTTGGAGAGGAGCAGAAGGAGGCCAGCAGAGACTGTCTGAGTCAGTGAGGCCGACACCTTATTTACCTTCAATGATCTTTTAAAGCAAGAAAATATACATTCACATAAATATATGTATATATAAGCACTCCATTGTACATTATACAGCTTCATACAACAATATTTCCAACTTAAAACATATGATCAATCTTCACATGGTTTAATGTTAACAGAATAGATGCAGGTTCTCAGAACAGGACACTTATAAGGGTTAAAACAAGCGGAAGTAGCCTTTTGCCTGAAAGCAGCAGAAGTCTTCAAGTGTAAAATTAATAAAAAATCACCTGCTAGCACTTGTCACCTGAGCTCCATCCAGAAGTTGCCCTCTCTTTGGACTGATGGGTGGAGACTTGAGTGGCCAGCAGAGGGATGGCAGAGATCTGATGGTTAAATCTGAACAGGACCTTACTGTCTGAGGACTTCTACCCCTGAACGCCTCTGATTTTGGATTAGAACCCCATGGTCTCCTGTGCATCATGGACAACCCTGGAAATATCACACAAATATATATAAATCTGTTTCACTTTAGATTGAAAGTGGCTTTCATTGGGAGAGGAGAGTAATTTGCACATTACAGCAAAACCTGACAGGTCGCAAAAACAAACAAATTGACTGCTCAGCCATGAATCATATTTTTCTTGAAGTTTTTTGTATACATTTATATCTTTAAACTGCTGTATCTCACAACAGTTTTCATTTAGATATTTAGAATAATTCTCTAGCCTAAACATAGAGACAATTAATTGATCTGCATTAGTTAATTAATTACAGTTGAACATTATTTTGCATTACAAAGAAGAACATTTAGCTGATGATGTTATGTAAAAAGAAGGAAATGCTGTCACTGTAGAAGTTAACTAATCAAAGCATGTGAATGAAGCTTTAGAGATTTATGCTCATTTGCTGAGGCTCTGTGGATTGAAATGCTTAGATCAGCAGCTGTAGAAACGCTAGTGATTCTGGACTTTCCACAATGGTTCCTAATTGTTTTTACAATAATTTTTGGAGATTTCCACAAATACTTGTATTGAATTTCCAAAACATGAAACTAAAAATACCAGTGATCTATATTTCTAATTTGGAAATTATCTACTTTTTGGAACATGACAAATCACTGTAAAATAATAATTGAAGGTGTTGATAGTAGCAGCCCAGTTGATATTTCTTTCCAGATTTGAATCAGAGACCAATTCAACTAAACCAGATGAAGCTACTATGACAAGAATATAAAGTTAGGGGTTGAACAAGTACTGCAGAATTTGAGGATAGAAGTAGAATGAAGCAGGACGATAAAAAAATTGGTTCTTATACTCTCAAGCAGCCAAGCTCATAGCAGCATCAACTTTTAGCTTTGTTCTAACTCGCTTGCATCTATTTAGATGAATCAATCAATAGGATATTACGAATAAATTTGAAAATTCTGTGAATGTAAGAGTAAGAGGATCCAAATACCGTATTTGACTGGATTGTATTGAGATTTATTCTTGTTCATCCTCTGCTAAATGAAATGCTTAGATCAGCGTTCTGCAAACTGCAGCTTCAGAGCCACACATGGATTTTCCACTATTACTCTTTTTCTTTAAAAAGTGATAAGGAATTTTTGGAGTGTTTTATAAGAACTAATGCAATAATTTTCTTTCTTTTTTTTCTTTTTTGTTAAGTTGGAAACAATGTGCTGTTTTAAATATTTTTCACAAATATTGTCATCATTCCATTAGAGAAAATTATATTTTATGATTTTAAATTTTCTCAAAACTTAAAAATAAAAGATAAAAAGGCAATGCTCCAAAAAGGACAATAACCTTTTGGACATAATTAAAAATTTCAATCAATTTTTTTTTTTTTTTTTGTCATGTTGAATTAAATGTGAAACTTGCAGATCCTTGGTGTAGATCAACACTATTTTTTAAGATCCTCTTGGTAAAAGTATGACTAACAAAACTTCCTTTACTAGACCATCAATATTTATCATGACTCACTCTTCTCCCCCTGCAGTGCCTCTTTGATTTTCTGTCTAACCCTTCTCTCTTTACTCCTCTCCTCTTCATCCTCTGTCAACCCCGTGCTTGGCTGATTGAGGGTCCCAAATATCTTGGCTGCCTCCCGAGGAGGAAACCAGTCTAATGTAGAAACACATGAGATGTAGTGATACTTCCAGGCTCCAAACTCCTTTTCTCTTGGTGCATAGGGAAGAAACCAGCCTCTCTTGATACACCGGCCTGACCAGAGACAGTCCTGATTGAAGATAAGAACAGATGCTTTCACCCATTTGCTAAATAAGAGTTTCCTTATATTAAGCAATGGGGGTTGAAATCATGGCAAAATTGCATTTAAAAAGTCTTTAAACATATGTATTTGTACACTTATTGTTCTTTCTAAATGTTCAACTCATTAGGAAGCCTACGAATAAGTCAGAAAGAGTCCCTCACCTGTTCTGTAAGGTATCTCCAGTGCCAACTGACCTGTGCGGCACTGCAGAGGTCCATAGGGGATAGGAAGGACATAACATACAGAGAGAGAAACCGTGGCAGTACAGCTGTGAAGTCCGCTCTAGTAACAGGGACTGTCTCATTAAGCATATCTCTGCAGTACCTGAGTTTGTGAAAGATACAACAAAGGGACCAAAATGCAGGTTCAGGGCTGAGACTTTATAACGACTTAAAGTGTTGGAATGAGCCTTACTTAAGCTGGGACTTGGTTGAGCGCATCAGCAGGGAGTGCAGGAGATGTTTCCTCTGTGAATCGTTCCACAAATCAAACCAGTGCAAGGCAAGCTTTACCCGCTCCTCAAACAGCTTAGATTAAACAGGAAGAAGACATGAAATGAGGCCAAGCAATCACTCCCAAACTTTCTCATGATGTTGACCACTATTGGTGTTGGTTTTATTAGGGGAAATTAGATTCTAAACTGAATGTCTGGGGTTTCTAAAGTGATATTCGTTGAGGCTTTAATTTACCCTATTTCAAAAACCTCATATATCAGAGCAGCTCTTGTGAAAGAATGTCTTGATTAAATTAATTAATCTTGTCTGCTACTGATGGATGTATTAAGGAAGGTTAACAAAGGTATTAAGGAAGGTTAACATATTTAATTTAGTTTATGTCTATGAAACAAAATTACAACACATGTAATCTAAAGGCACTTTACAGAGACTCAATTGGTAAAACATGTTTCAAAGGAAACCCAGCTGATTGCATCCAGCGATTGACTTTACAGGATTCAATCCTCCTGGATGAGCATGTAGATCATTTCTTGCATTATGTTGTTTACCCTACAGCTATTCCCCACAATGAGCATGCGTGCAAAACTCTTTCAACAGGAAGAAACCCCTTAGCACAGACTCAACAGGACCAACTTTGGGTCTTATAGGGCTGATGTCCTGAAGGTTTTAGAGGTTTCTCTGCTTCCGCACAGCTTATTTCCGTCGATAGCTGATTAACAAGCTTTTGCTGAACAGCCATCATCACACTCAACAGATTGGTCAATACCACCAAAAAACTTGGTTCAATTTCATCAATCTGGTTGGTAGTTATGTGTCCAACCAATCAAATGTGGTATAGTTTTAACTAGTCTATATTGGTAAAAGTCAAATCAATGAACATTGGTCACATTAACCAAATTATTGGTTAAGTAGAGCAACTTTCACAGCAAAGAACAGAACTTGACACAACAATCCTTCCATTGAAAGGCAAACTCCTATCTCAAACACCACTGTCAAGACTAACATCTCTTGGAATTTAATAGTACTTAATACTAATGTTTCAACCAAGGTGATCCAGGATAAGCATGCTGTATGTGTACAAATCACTGTAATTGTTCTCTAGGTCCATAAGTATTACACACTACACTAGAGTACAACCAAACAGTCAGAGTAGTAAACAATCAGTTACCATTTTTGATTGGTTGTCTGATTAACCAATTAAATTGGTTGATCTAAAACCAATGGCTTGGCGAGAAACTGACTAAGCTATTGGTTGATTCAACCAAAACTGATTTAACCAACTAGATGGGCTGTTTTTTCTGGAAAGTCTCTATATCAGGGGTGTAAAACTGGTTCCAGAAAGGACTGTATGGCTGCTGTTTTCCAACCAAGAAGTAGCACACAAGATGCCATTCATCATAATAATAATAATAATGAATTTTATTTATCATGCACTTTACATTTGATTTCAAATCTCAAAGTGCTACAAAACAAGTTTAAAAGACCATAACATTAAAAACAGAGTAAAAAGACAGTCATTAAAATCAATACATTAAAAGGCATACGTAGCCTATTAAAAAAAATCTAAAATCAACAATTGTAGGAATTTCTAAAAAGGAAAGTTTTTAGTCCTTTCTTAAAACAATCCACCGTCTGTGGGGCCCTAAGGTGGTCTGGGAGGGCATTCCACAGACGGGGAGCTGCAGCTTCGAAGGCCCTGTCGCCCATTGTTTTTAGCCGTGTCCTGGGTGGGGCCAGACGGTGCTGTTGGCCTGACCGGGTCCGGGAAGAGGTGTGTGGTGTGAGCAGTTCAGTGAGATACATGGGGGCCGCACCGTGCACACAGTGATGGGTGTGCAGAAGAATCTTGTACTCTATACGGGCGTGAATGGGCAGCCAGTGTAAAGTGTGAAGGATGGGAGTGATGTGCTGGTGTTTCCTCACGCTCATCAGGACCCTGGCAGCGCTGTTCTGTACATACTGGAGCTTCTGAAGGCTCCTGCCAGAGATCCCGACGAGGAGAGCGTTGCAGTAATCCAGCCTGGAGGAGACGAAGGCGTGGACGAGCTTCTCTGCAGCAGGGAGGGATAGGGAGGGACGGAGTTTAGAGATATTACGGAGGTGAAAGAAGGACGTTTTGCAGATGGAGGTGACATGATTGTCAAAGGAGAGGTGGGGGTCAAGCTTGACCCCAAGGCTTGTAACAGAGGGAGAGAGGGGAATGGTATGACCACAGAATGAAACAGAGGTGAGAGGAGAGGAACGGAGTTGATGAGGAGTACCAGTTTGGATGGCCTCTGTTTTTGAGGCATTAAGCTGCAGGAAGTTTTGATTCATCCACGCCTTTATATCCTCCAGGCAGGAGCTGAGGCGGGTGACAGAGTTGGCGGGGGAGCTGGGAGGAGTCATTTTAATGTAAAGTTGTGTGTCGTCAGCATAGCAATGGAAGTTGACCCCATGCCTGCCGAAGACACAACTAAGGGGGAGCATGTAGATGGTGAACAGGGTAGGGCCGAGCACGGAGCCCTGGGGGACCCCACAGGTGACAGTGTGAGGTCTGGATTTTGCCTCCCCCAGGGCCACATACTCGGTCCTGTCAGTGAGGTAGGAGTGAAACCAGTGGAGGGCAGTGCCAGAGAGACCAATGAAATGCTGGAGGCGGTGGAGGAGGATGTGGTGATCTACTGTGTCAAACGCAGCAGACAGGTCAAGAAGAATGAGGAGGGACGTGAAACCGGAATCAGAGGCCATCAGCAGATCGCTGGTGACTCTGATGAGAGCTGTTTCTGTGCTGTGGGAGGGGCGAAAACCAGATTGGAATTTTTCATACAGATTATTGCATTTAAGGTGGTTGTGGAGCTGGGTGGAAACAACTTTTTCTAGGAGTTTGGAGATGAATGGGAGGTTTGAAATGGGTCTGTAGTTTGACAGAGGTTCAGGGTCCAAGGTGGGGTTTTTTAGGAGGGGTTTAATGAGGGCAGTTTTAAGGGTAGATGGGACGGTACCCGTTTCCAGGGAACTGGCTATTATTTTGGTTATGAGATGACTAATGGATTGATGGTGAGTTTTGAGCAGAGGGGATGGGAGGGGATCTAAAGAGCAGGTGGATGATTTAGATTTGCGGATGATGTTCTCGACCTCCTGCTGCGTTGGCAGAGAGAAGTGTGATAGGAGTTGTGTGGGAGATGTCTCAGGGGTATCAATAGTGGTGCTGTTTGAAGGTGAAAGTGAAGAGCGGATGCTGTCTATTTTTGATATGAAGAAGTCCAGAAACCGGTTGCAGTTTATATCTGTGTGGTTGTAGAATGAGGAGACCTGTGGTTTGAGAATATGGCTGATTGTGGAAAAGAGTTTTCTGGAATTACCTGGGTTATTGTTGATGAGCGAGGAGTAGTAATTGGACCTGGCCTTGGAGAGGGCTGTTGCATAATTTCTGCGATGTTCCCGGTAGGCCAATTTATGCACCGTCAGGCCAGATGTTTTATATGCCCGCTCCAGGACACAGCCAGACCTCTTCATTTGCCTTAGCTCTTTGGTGAACCAAGGAGCGGAACGTGTGAATGTGACAGTCCGGGTTATTACAGGAGCATGAGTATCCAGGATGGAGTTGAGGCTTGTGTTGTAGAAGTCCATTAAGTCACTGGCTGATGAGAGTGGAGAGGGGGAAAGATGCTGAAGATGTGAGCTGAAGGATGAGGAATCAATGTTTTTGATGTTTCTGAAAGTGATATGGCGTTTTGGTTTGGTGAAAAAGGTTATTGGGAGTCTAAATGTTACTGCCAGGTGATCTGAGACACCAACATCGTATATGTTGATGCTGGTGAGTGGAAGGGAGTCAGTTATAACAAGGTCCAGAGTATGCCCTTTGCTGTGGGTGGGGCCATCTGTCAGCTGTTGAAGATTTAGACAGTCCAAAACCTGTTTGAATTCGGCAGCTAGACGGGAAGTGTGTGAGTCCATGTGTATATTGAGATCACCAATTACAAGAATATTTGAGTGTGCTGTGCAGAGAGAGTTTAGGAACTGATGAATGTCAGAAATGAAAGTTGGTTGTGGTTTAAGGGGGCGATATATGACAGCTACTGTAGCAGAGAAAGGATTATTGCATTTAAAAACATCATCTAATGAAGTCATCAGGTTAAGACTGGTTACAAAACCCAGAAAAGGTGATGGGATAAGTAGAACCCCTAAAAGATAAAATGACTGTCAACTAGGGTATCAGAAGGCCTAGTCACAAATTCCAGATTTCCTAAATTAATTTTTCCAATCTGTTCCCTTAAGTGCATGCTTTGTCTGGTATAAAGAAAAATTCTGCATTTTTTGCTACATTTAAACAAATTTTATAAGCACTACACACTAAATGGTGTTTGTCAATGTGTAAAGCATTCTGTTATATACAGGTGCTGGTCATAAAATTAGAATATCATGAAAAAGTAGATTGATTTCAGTAATTCCATTTAAAAAGTGAAACTTGTATATTATATTCATACATTACATACAAACTCATATATTTCAGATGTTTATTTTGTTTAATTTTGATGATTACAAATGACAACAAATGAAAATCTCAAATTCATCATATCAGAAAATTAGAATATTGTGAAAAGGTTCAAAATTGATGGCCCCTGGTGCCACACTCTAATCAGCTAATTAACTCAAACCACCTGCAAAAGCCTTTAAATGGTCTTTCAGTCTAGTTCTATAGGCTACACAATCATGGGGAAGACTGCTGACTTGACAGTTGTCCAAAAGACGACCATCGACACCTTGCACAAGGAGGGCAAGACACAAAAGGTCATCGCTAAAGAGGCTGGCTGTTCACAGAGCTCAGTGTCCAAGCACATTAATAGAGAGGCGAAGGGAAGGAAAAGATGTGGTCGAAAAAAGTGTACAAGCAAGAGAGATAACCGCACCCTGGAGAGGATTGTGAAACAAAACCCATTCAAAAATGTGGGGGAGATTCACAAAGAGTGGACTGCAGCTGGAGTGAGTGCTTCAAGAACCACCACACACAGACGTATGAAAGACATGGGTTTCTGCTGTCGCATTCCTTGTGTCAAGCCACTCTTGAACCACAGACAGCGTCAGAAGCGTCTTGCCTGGGCTAAAGAGAAACAGGACTGGACTGCTGGTGAGTGGTCCAAAGTCATGTTCTCTGATGAAAGTAAATTTTGCATTTCCTTTGGAAATCAAGGTCCCAGAGTCTGGAGGAAAAGAAGAGAGGCACTTCATCCACGTTGCTTGAAGTCCAGTGTAAAGTTTCCACAGTCAGTGATGGTTTGGGGTGCCATGTCATCTGCTGGTGTTGGTCCATTGTGTTTTCTGAGGTCCAGGGTCAACACAGCCACATACCAGGAAGTTTTAGAGCACTTCATGCTTCCTGCATCTGACCAACTTTTTGGAGATGCAGATTTCATTTTCCAACAGGACTTGGCACCTGCACACAGTGCCAAAGCTACCAGTACCTGGTTGAAGGACCATGGTATCCCTGTTCTTAATTGGCCAGCAAACTCTCCTGACCTTAACCCCATAGAAAATCTATGGGGTATTGTGAAGAAGAAGATGCAATACACCAGACCCAACAATTCAGAAGAGCTAAAAGCCACTATTAGAGCAACCTGGGCTATCATAACACCTGAGCAGTGCCACAGACTGATCGACTCCATGCCACGCCGCATTGCTGCAGTAATACAGGCCAAAGGAGGCCCAACTAAATACTGAGTGCTGTACATGCTCATACTTTTCATGTTCATACTTTTCAGTTGGCCAACATTTCTATAAATCCTTTGTTTTTATTGGTCTTCAGTAATATTCTAATTTTCTGATATGATGAATTTGAGATTTTCATTTGTTGTCATTTGTAATCATCAAAATTAAACAAAATAAACATCTGAAATATATGAGTTTGTATGTAATGTATGAATATAATATACAAGTTTCACTTTTTAAATGGAATTACTGAAATCAATCTACTTTTTCATGATATTCTAATTTTATGACCAGCACCTGTATGTTATTGGCAGGTCACTTCTTAGTATTTGCAGGGACAATTGGGTTTGTCAAAAATGTTGGTAGGGACATGTCCATGTTGTCCGTATGCAAACCTACCTCCATCAAGGGGACATACAAACAGATGCCTGAGCTACCTTAGCTCCTGAAGTGGAAATGGAATGCTTCTACTCCAAGTAACTCCCTAATGGCCAAGCTTGAAGCTCCTTGAACCACCAAATGGGGTAAGCAGTAAGTGATCCCAGAGGATATTTGCTTAAATGCCCCCATGTGTTGGGCTTTTGGCTCACAACTATAACGATGACAAACATCAAGGCAAGTGTCGTCCGACCTGGGATAGAAGCTCTTTGGCAACTGCCTGGTGGCTTCTCCTGGTTTACGCCAAACCAAATGACCGACATCCCCTACTACCCCCAACATCTGCAGGGGGCAGTGCTACACTGGTAAAAAATCTAAATCTAGATAAGTCATTTTTTTCTTAAAATAAGTGAATTTGTTCTTGTATTGAGGAAGTAAAAGAGACATTTTGCCAAGGGAAAAAGACAGTTTACATTTAAAATAAGAAAACACAATTACATTGTCTTATAAGTGATTTTATCTAATTATCTTATTTCAAGAGTAAAAATACTCATTCTATTGGCGAATGAGTATCATTTACCAACTCAAATTAACAGTAAATACATTTAATTTAAGAAATTTGTACTTATTTCTAGATCATTTTTCCAGTGTATGTGCTCAAATCTAGACCTTCTCCACCTTTCTAACTCCTTCTACAAAGCTGATCACAGGAAGAGACAAATGCGCCCTTGGATCTGATTTCAAAAAGATAAAAAATACCTAATTTGATGTAGAAGACCTACTATGTTGGTGAAAGTGACAAATATATGAAATAATCGTACAAGAAGAACAATCATAAGTAGTATTATGATTAAAGTTCTTAGTTAAAAGAGCTTAAGCGAAAAGTTAACCTGGAAGACTCTTATTCAGCCTAAGCTCCCTTGCTCAGTCTTAGCCAATTGACAACGTGCTGCACCATCTCCAAAGCCAATAATTACTCAAGATGCTATTCATTAAGACGAAGGCCCAGCTTCCCCATTCAGCACTTCAGCCGAACTTTAAATGCATCTGCTAAACTCCATTCATGCTTTGATTTAAATCTGTTGCACATCTCCATGCCTGGTAGATCCAGTTCTCTACCCTTTCAGAATCAGCATTCTGGTCCTGGAGTCTACTAGGACTCACCAAGGCCTATCTCATGCTCACCCATTCATGACGCATTCCATCCAATTCCACTTTATCGCCCCTATGGTTCCTTATAATGCTACGACTTCTTACACTGTTTGATGTGTCCATTATTAGAAATGGCTTTTTGTTATAATTATTATAGAAACCTTATTGCTCGCTTAGCCTTGACGTAAATCCGATTAGCAACTTATTGGAGGTGGAGGGCCTGTAAAACTTCCTTCTCCCTTCGTTTAGCTTCATTTTCTCTTAATTTCTCTATCCTGTAGATACTCTTGCATACACTCAATAGACAACCCATCGTCTGAGCATCACATCTCATCAGGTGTTCACTCCTCTTGGCGCATAACCACGCATCTGTCCTCTCTGCATCCACTGTATCGTCAGTTCTACTAATCTCAACAGCTCCTAACAATGGATGAATCAGATTCAGTAGCAGCCCTGACTCAAACCAGTGTAACTGCCTTACACAAAGCATGCTTGTAGCAACAGTGGAGAGAAAAACTCCCTTTTAACAGGAAGAAAGCTCCAGCAAAAACAGGCTCAGTGTGAGCGGCCATCTGCTGAGGCATCCTGGGGGTCTAAGAGACAGAAGCAGACATAGAGAAAGAAGCAGAGAGGCAAAAGGCAACTGTCAACCAGCTCCACAGTCGGCCTGGAAACAGCCAGGCAGATGAGCTCCAAGCCAGCTTCCATGTCAGAAGATGTAGAGAGCCCATTCAACTAGTCACAGTCAGAGAAACAGGACTACACTGAAAAACAGGCCAAAATCCAACATCTATAAACAAAGGTGTTGATGGCAGCAGCACAGCTGATATGTCTCTCCAGGATGCTGTCACAGCCAAACAGGAACAGACCAGACGATCCTGTCTCCTTATGTGTATGTATACTTCTGCCTCCTTGAACCCCATTCGGCCTTGGCAGATGGCGCTCATACTCGGCCTTGTTCCGGTTCTGCTGTAGGTTTCTTCTTGTTTAAATTGTAATAAGGGATCACTGTCGAATCAATAAGTCAGTGCAATCAGCTGGTTTTCTTTAAATAGAAAACTTTTAACCAGTCTGTGACTTACAAATAGTTGATTTGAATAAAACTTTTGAATGTACATTTTCTCTGTATAAGTCTCTCCAGGTTGAACTTCTGTGTATATTTTCAAGTAATGAATTGTTTTTTTCAAATAAAGAAAATTCTAAAAAGGCATTTTTTTTATCTGTACTAATATTTTTATGATTTTTTTTTATTAATTGCATTTAATCAATTATTGAAACGGTGGTCAAGAGACTTTGTAATCAATTAACCATTAACTGTAGTATAGGGACTCTATAACATGCCTTTAGAATAGAATTCAACTTTTATTGTCATTCCACTGTCACAAGTACAGAGCAACAAAATTAATTCTCTGCATTTAACCCATCCCCTTGGGGAGCAGTGGGCTGCCATTGTGAGGCGCCCGGGGAGCAGTGTGGGGTTAAGGGTCTTGCTCAGGGACCCAGAGTGGCAGTCTGTGGGAGTGGGGGATAGAAATCACAACCTCAGGATTCAAAGCCCAATGCCCTAACCACTAGGCCACCACTCCCACACTTTAGCTGACAGATTATACCAATTATACCAAAACTGTAAAAAATATGTAACAACATTTTGCAGGATAAAGAAAAAAGCCTTTATCATCTGTCAGCTCTATCCAAAACTCCACAATTGGAAAAGTTTTAGTTTTACCCTGTTTAATTCTGTAAAAAAAATTATTGACAGATTAATCAATTAGCAAAATAATCATTAATTGCAGCCCCAGTATAGTCCCATATTCTCTCTTAATACAATGCATCTACGATTGTTGCTGTTAGAGGTGTACAGTGTAGTTTTAACCTGCAGGTTGCTTTGCTTGTTGGTCAGTGGGGTCCAACTGCTGAAGCGTCTCTCCATCCCCTGCTTTAGACTCCGCTGTGGCTCATAGTCCGTCCCGCTGAGCTGCCAAAGCTTCACAGAGTGAGGACGGCCTATTAGGTCCATCTCAACAGAGCCTTCTGAACGTCAAGGAAAGTCACAAGGACTGCTTTCTACAGGCCTATTTAAGCAGAGGGGATCTGTTTCAGTTGAGTTGATGTGTACAGGGAGTAACCTTGGAGACACATCAACAATGGATGAGCGCATTCCGTTACACAGCCCATCCCATCCTGAGCATTAATAACTAACAATATTTGTTAAAAACAGGCTCAATAAGGACACAAACATTTTCATGAGCTTCTTTACAGGAACATTTAAAGACATTTGAAAGCTTATAGTAGCTAATTTACCAAAAAATCCCCAAATGTCATTAAATTATTCAGGCTCATGTAGCTAAAAGTTCAATGACTTGTTTAATTTTAGGTTTTAAATGACGCATTTGAACCCTGTTCCTTTTACAACTCTGTACTGATTACAAAGATGCCAACATTGAAAACATTTAAAATAATTCAGTGCAACACAAGTTACAGTGTTTATTGTTTGTTTTTTTATGGAGTGAAATTTATTCATTTATTTTTACAGGCAAAGAATATATTTTATAAACGCTCATTTAAAAAAAATGCTTTCAAAATGAAAAAAAAAAACTTGTTAAAAAGTGTTTTATTAAAAAAGGTTTAGAGTAATTTTGCTATTTTAGATTCTGTTTTTTCTAATATATATATATATGTATATATATATATATATATATATATTTGTTTGTTTTATATTTTTCTCCTCAGTTTGTGCCTAATACAAATGTCTAGCAGACCAAAATAAATGTGTTTTCTGTACTCCAGAGGAAAGCAGACAGCCCAATGAAGAGAGAGCAATATGATCTGAAAAGCATGATTTAAAAACACAATCTATAAAATTCAGTCTAAATTTTTTTTTGTGTGTAGAGTAAAAAAAGGTGTAAATTTACACATCTACACAAGTTACATCTACATACAGTCTCCAATCTACAAATCTTTTCCAACAACAATGGAACAGAATTCACTACATAAATATATCCTGATCTAAGATGGAGCTTGGCCATTTAAGGCTTATTTGTGAGAAGGAGGATTTTAAATTCTATTCTGGATTTAACAGGAAGCCAATGAAGAGAAGCCAGGATAGGAGAGATATGATCTCTCTTTTTAATTTTCATCAGAACTCTGGCTGCAGCATTTTGGATCAGCTGAAGGCTTTTAACTACAGTTTGTGGACTTCCTGATAGTAAAGAATTACAATAGTCCAGCCTTGAAGTAACACATCCATGGACTAGTTTCTGAGCATCAGGATATTTCTATTTTTTGCAATATTCCGCAGATGTGAGAAGGAAATTCTAGAAACCTCTTTGATATGGGAATTAAATGACAGGCCCTGATAAAAAAAATAATAAGATTTTTACTTTATTATCTGAGATCATTTTAATCCCATCCAAATGAAGTGACTGGCTAATCAGCTTCTTTTTCAAAGACTCTGGTCCAAAGACTATCAATTCTGTTTTGTCTGCATTCAGGAGCAGAAATTTGAGAGTCATCCAGATTTTTATGTCTTCAAGACATGCCTGTAATCTATGTAATATGTTAGCTTCATCTGGATTTATAGACAGATATAGCTGGGTATCATCCGCATAACAGTGGAAAATAATCCCATACTGTAATAATTCTACTGATTAAGAGCATATATATAGTAAAGAGAATTTGTCCTAGCACTGATCCCTTTGGTACTCCACAGGTAACCATGGAGGAGGAGAAGGATTTAAATATTCACATCTAAAATGGAGGAGTAAATCAAAGGGAATACTTCCTTAGATAACTAGTTGGAACTGGATCTAACATAAAAGTTGAAGGCTTAGATTAAGACAATAATTTAGCTAACTCTGAAAGTTCAACTGGATCAAAGCTAGGGATGGGAATCGAAAACCGGTTCCTGTTAAGAACCGGTTCCGTATTTTTCGATTCCATGGCATCGTTTGGCAGCTCGCTGAACGATTCTTTTTTCGATTCCCGCAGCAACAGAGCCTAGCGCGCCGGCTCTGGGGAGCACGACTTACGTCACGTTTTTTACGTACGTTACGCAACTTACGCAACTTACGCAAGTTGGAAGAACTATTCGAGGAGGAAGACAACGAGCTGCGGTCACTTTGTGAATCAAAGCCCCGTCTTTCCTTAGCCCAGAGGGTAGATCAGGAAATCCAGCTCTGTAAAAGCTTGCCCTCCATCCCCTGCAGGGATAGCGCCACACTGTGGTGGTGGAACAAGCAAGATACGCTGCCCTTGCTATCTGGACTGGCTGAAAACTACCTCTGTGTGCAGGCTTCCTCCACCCCATCTGAGAGGGTGTTCTCCACGGCTGGAGACACCTTAAGCCCTGAAAGATCCCATATCCTTCCAGAAAAAGCAGATATGCTCATCTTTCTGCAAAAGAACTGTTAATTTTCCCTACTACTGTTTTATAATTAGTACTTTTTGTTATTTAAAATAGGTTATAATCCCATCATTTGTTATTAGACATTGTTTGTTATTAAGTTTGTTCTTGTATTCATTTTTCATTTAAACACAGATGTTACTCCAGTTTCACATTTCCTGTGGACATCTTGATCTTGTTGATTTTGTAAGATTGTGCAATAGTTAAGTAAACAAAGTTGATTCTGATAATCAAACTGTTTGTTCTCCTTTTTCCCCCAAATTGGAATCGAAAAAAGAATCGATAAAGAATCGAATCATTTCATAGAATCGAAAAGGGAATCGGAATCGTGAAAATCTTTTCAATTCCCAACCCTAATCAAAGCAGTCTAAACCCGGTTCAGATTCCATGACTACCTCAGATGCTGCCTCAATTTCTCTGTCCTGTAACAACCTGACCTGGAATAAACACTGTTACTTATTTACTCCTGATTTATAGTCCTTTTTTATATGGTTTTACCCAGTTTGAGTTAAGAGTAGTAAATAACTTGCTCCCAGGAAAAGAACCGGTAGGGAAGTTCCAAGGCGCAGCTGCCTTCAGGGGGACATAACTTCCATATTTAACACCATCCTGAGATAAACCTATCATAGTTTTTTATGATCTAATTTTTAATAGAATCAATCTTATTTAAAAATCCCATAAAATCATTACTGCTAAGAGCAGAGGGAAATATTATTTATTATCACAAATCCTTTTTCCATTTGTGTTTTCTGTTTTAACTAACATTTTAAATACTTTTCACATTTTTGTCTCCATTTATTATCTGAACCCTGTGCATTGCCTTAAGGTTTTACTTTTCCATTTAGCTTTTGCATAACTCTGCTTTATAAGCCATTATTGAACTGTGTATAAGCTGTTTCTAAACTGTTCATAAGCTTTTATCAAGCTGGTAATAAGTTATTACTATACCGTTAATAAACTTTCATCAAACTTGTTACTAAACTTATTAGTTTATTAGTAAGAGCTTATAAATATAAGCTGTTAGCAACTGTAGCAAGGAATGATCAATGGATCATTATGTATACCTAAAACTAATACATTCACAGTGATTAGATGAATTTACCGTTAATCAAAAAAATAATTAAAAAAATAATTTTCATCGAGATCATTTTTTTCTCAAATATAGTAATACCTCACTCCTGACATCTTCCGGCAGTGACATCACAGCGCGGTAAACCGAGCGCCATTCTCCCCGCTTAACAAGCAAAGTCAATAGGCAGAAACAGACACATCTTCAATCAGCAGCAATTTTTTAAGATTTCAAGAGGACTTCGCCATTGAAATTTGTAAGAGCTATAGTTAAACTGACAATGCCCATGTGCATGGCAGTTGGATGTTGTAATACATTGGCTAAAAGTTAACAAAAATGTGTTATTTCACCTTTCCGATTCATGATCCTACACAGACGGGTTTGTCATTGGATTGCCAACTGGAAGAGGGAGGATTTGTCTTTGAACGTCTGGCCAAAAATGCGTAATATGTAGCCAACATTTTGTAGAAGAATGTTTTCATGATGACTTGGATAATAGCGCGTACAGCATTGGAACTTGCTCAACAGCCGATACCGCACCGTCACAAACCGGTAGGTGGCAGTAGTGTTCTTTGACAAACACTGATGTCTCTGGTAAATCACATTAAAATGAAATTATTTAACTCTGTAATGCCAAATGTATCATATTTGATACATACGGTTTCTGAAATGTTTTGTGTCTGACACCTTTTGCATAATTTAATGGTAAAAACTTTGCTTAAAATCCTATTGTACACAATCAGATATACCTGATAACAGAGGGCAGAAGACTACACAAAAAATAATCTTGACTTATCGCATGGTAATAAATTATTAATATCAAAAATGTATTTCTGTTTTTTCTTTTTACATATTTTGTTGAAAGGCCAAGTAAGGACTTCAAACCAAAAGAAAATATGACTGGACTTTTCCTTTAATAAAATTAAAAACTAAACCATCAAACCAACACTTATTCAAAGTTAACTATCAACAAGATGAAGTTAAACTGTTACCATGTTGTGTTTGGGTGACTGAAATGCAAAATGTAAGAAACGTAAATGCATTTTCTAAGGGGATTTAAAAAATGTGAGGTAAAAAGAAAAAAGGTGATAAAAGGGGATTCCTGTTTCTGAAAACTTCATTTAGAGAATTTGCAAATGATCTTTTAAATTGCAGTATAGTATGCCCTTAAAATAAAAAGCACTGATAGAGCACTGAGACCTAAAAAACTCTCTAGTTATTTTAAAAGATCTTTATTAGCAATAGAGTTGGAAAAAGGAAGTTGAACTAATAACTCCTTATTTTAAACAAAATAGACACATATGACAAAGGAAGTTAAATGCACAATATTTGTTTAATCAACATAGAATTGAAATCAAGCAGCAGGTTAAGAAGTAACCCTCCTCCCCTTCAGTGGTGAAAATCAGACATAAAAAATAAATTCCATTCAAATAATTTTATATAAAGTCATCAAATAAATCTGAACTAAAAAGGCAAATATGATTAAACAATCAAACCAATTAATAAGGCATGGATGTGATTAAAACATCTGGATTTGTGTCTTTACAGCATCAAACCGACCCCCTGCTGACTACACGCTCAGTGGGTTGCATGTTTCACAAGATGTGCAAATGAAGTGAACACTGAAAGGCAGAAGCTGGATCCCCTGCCAGGTTGTGCAACAAAGATTTTTTATATATGAACGTTATTCCTCTGCTGTAACTCAAAGCTGCAAGTAAAAGGTAAACAGTTCTATGTTAAGAATTCAGCAGTCGGTATGGAGTGAATTAGGTTCCAAGATTGTTGCAAAAAAACAAATTTTGTCAAAAGAAACTTGAGAAAAAAAAAATTAATCCAAAAATGAAACTTTGAATAAAAAAAAAGAAATTGAGAGTAACTTTTATTTTATTGTGACAATAATTCTGAATTTATATCAAAAATTTTTTTTTTTCCAATTTACAACTATATTATTTTAAAATTGCGTTAAACAGATCACATTCTCTTTGCTTTTGACCAATAAAAATGTTGCTAACATTCAGCAGACCAATAGAAAAGCTTTTGCATCTTAAACCAGAGAAAATCTGCCCCCAGAAGAATGTGATCTGTACAATGCAAAAAAAACTTAATTTGTAACACTCAGCCTAAAAATTAGAAGAAAAAAAATTAAATATGGAAAAAAATACAATAAAAATTGTTATGTTAAACAAAATAAAATTGGCAAAAAAGCAATGTTACTGTTACAACCTTACTTTGATCAACACAATTTACAAAGGTTAAATTTCTGAAATGCATTTCTTTTGTTTGTTGCTTGCAACAACATTTGGAACAAATTTCACTCCATAACCTGGTGCATATTGAACAAGATAACATCTTAAAAAGCATTAAAAATATGTTTTAAAGTCTTAAAGTGTTCTAAAGTTTGATCAAACCTAAGATCTATCTGTCCTCATCCTGTCTAACAGTTCCAGAAGAAAACACAGAGAATCCTGATTGACACCCGGTGGATCCAGTGAAGATAATCTGAAACTACATTCAACCCGAGGTAAAGCCGAGAACGAGCCAGAATGAAAACTCTGCCTAGATGTGATTTCAGGAGAGGTGCAGGAAGAGCAGATCATCACACGTTTGCCGTCTTCAGGATTTCCTGACTCTCTGCGAGATTCAGCATCTGTCTGGAGGCGTGTCAAGTAAAGGAAAGGTAACTTTCAGAGACAGGATAAGTAGTTTTTCAATGAACCTTCGCTTTCCTTTTCCTCTTTACATGGAAAACACTTCAATCACCCCAGATTCTGCATATAATCCCTGTGCAGTACCTAAAACAATCCAACCCTGCTGTTCTATAATCATTCAGACATGAACATGTCACTAAACTACAATCAATCTAAGAGGGAAAAAAACAAGAATCATTACTATTCTGTGTTTAAAACAAAGGAGAAATTGAAATTAGACAGCTTTAATAATGGTCTAATAAATGTAGAACAACAAGGAAAAGATTATGTTTATCAATTTGGGGAGTTAAATTGTGGAACAAATTAAATGAGAACCTAAAGCAATGCCCAAACATATTCCTTTTCAAAAAAATGTACAAAGAAATTATTTTCAAAAGGTTTAGAGAAGCATTGGAGAAAGTTTTATTTGTGTTTTTTGTTTTGTTTGTATACATATTTATGTATGTATATGTGTAGGTAGGTATATATTTATATGGATATAAATAGCAACATAATTATAAATATTGTAAATTGAAGAAATACAAGATTTAAAGGGGTAGGAGCACATAAGTTTTACTTCTTCCTTCTCCCTTTCGCACATTTAATAGAGGTATTAACAAAGGAAAGAAGGGTACCTTGTTTGTTGTTTTTCTCTCCAATGATTTTAAACATTATTTTATTGTTTTTCTCTTGCATGTTCGAAATAAAGAATCCAATCAATCAATCAATCAATCAATCAATCAATCAATCAATCAATCAATCAATCAATCAATCAATCAATCAATCAAAAGAATCCAATCAATGGTACTTAGTAGGAAAGTTATAGAAGAATAAATGAGTGTAAAGTTATTTGAACTGTTAGGACATTTAGAAAAAGCACATCATCATATTTAAATTACTCAATAAAGCCTGTCTTTAATGCTAAGTACATAAATCAAATGTGTTTTTTTCACATAATTTAAAGATTTGTGGCAAAACATGCTATTGAGTAACAAAAACAAGAGGGATAATAAAAAATGTTAATATGAGGAGGACATGTGGCTCTAACATACTGTCAGACTTTACTGTGGTAACAGTGATGGTAACAGTGATGTAGGTCTGTTTATTAAAACAATTCAACAGTCAGTGGCGGGAGCGGCTCTTTGTCCTGTTAGCTGTGTGTCTAAACTCGCTGCACCTCAGTTTACAGTTTAGTTCATACTAAAGGAGAAACTGTTTTAGCTTCAACATTTTGTTTTTTTTACAAAGAGTTACACTTCAGTCTTTAATATAAATCTCTCAGGCAGGTTTAGCAGAAAGTTCATCAGATGGCCTATAATTTGGGCCAATATCATTTTTTTTTTTGCATCCATTCATTGAGTTGGCTCCTCCTGGATGAGCAGGGGGCGACAGTAGATGTTTCATGATGCTGCAGGTGAGGTAACGTGAAATGATTTCGATGCATTTTCAATTGGCTGTCAATTAGCTGCCTATTAATTACAGTTAGCGCTACCTGTCACTCTTTTGGACACCAAGCGGGGCATCCCCTACTGGCCAGGAGGAGCTAAACTCCTTTAAATGTTTGTATTTAGGTAACTCTGCTTAAACAAAGAGATTAACATTTTTGCTAAAGGGTATAGTGGAGGATATCCGTGTGGATCATCAAATAAGCGGTTCTCCTAATGGTCAATCCGTCTGTTTATAAGTTTCTGCGCATGCGCACTTTTAGGTGTGCACTCACCGGCCACTTTATTAGGTACACCTGTCCAACTGCTCGTTAACACTTAATTTCTAAGCAGCTAATCACATGGCGGCAACTTGGTGCATTTAGGCATGTAGACATGGTCAAGACAATCTCCTGCAGTTCAAACCGAGCATCAGTATGGTGAAGAAAGGTGATTTGAGTAACTTTGAACGTGGCTTGATTGTTGGTGCCAGAAGGGCTGGTCTGAGTATTTCAGAAACTGCTGATCTACTGGGATTTAAGAGACAGAGAACGGTCCGAAAAAGAAAAAACATCCAGTGAGCGGCAGTTCTGTGGGCGGAAATGCCTTGTTGATGCCAGAGGTCAGAGGAGAATGGCCAGACTGGTTCGAGCTGATAGAAGGGCAACAGTGACTCAAATAACCACCGGTTACAACCAAGGTGGGCAGAAGAGCATCTCTGAACGCACAGTACGTCGAACTTTGAGGTAGATGGGCTACAGCAGCAGAAGACCACACCGGGTGGCACTCCTTTCAGCTAAGAACAGGAAACTGAGGCTACAATTTGCACAAGCTCATCGAAATTGGACAATAGAAGATTGGAAAAACGTTGCCTGGTCTGATGAGTCTCGATTTCTGCTGCGACATTCGGATGGTAGGGTCAGAATTTGGCGTCTACAACATGAAAGCATGGATCCATCCTGCCTTGTATCAACGGTTCAGGCTGGTGGTGGTGGTGTCATGGTGTGGGGAATATTTTCTTGGCACTCTTTGGGCCCCTTGGTACCAATTGAGCATCGTTGCAACGCCACAGCCTACCTGAGTATTGTTGCTGACCTTGTCCATCCCTTTATGACCACAATGTACCCAACTTCTGATGGCTACTTTCAGCAGGATAATGCGCCATGTCATAAAGCTGGAATCATCTCAGACTGGTTTCTTGAACATGACAATGAGTTCACTGTACTCAAATGGCCTCCACAGTCACCAGATCTCAATCCAATAGAGCATCTTTGGGATGTGGTGGAACGGGAGATTCGCATCATGGATGTGCAGCCGACAAATCTGCGGCAACTGTGTGATGCCATCATGTCAATATGGACCAAACTCCCTGAGGAATGCTTCCAGCACCTTGTTGAATCTATGCCACGAAGAATTGAGGCAGTTCTGAAGGCAAAAGGGGGTCCAACCCGTTACTGAATGTGGCAAAAGGGGGTCCAACCCGTTACAGAATGTGGTACCTAATAAAGTGGCCGGTGAGTGTATATGTGTGCTGAGATACATTTTCAGCCAGTCAAGATCACCTTTTTCACTGCGGTTCTTAAAAATGGTCGAGGGTCGTAATAGAAAAAGTATCTACGAAGTGTATGAGAAGAAGAGAAAGGCCTCTTTTTTTTGTCAGATTCTTAACACAACCTGAAATCTCTTGTCGGGCTTCCCATTGCCCCGGTAGCAAATTTTCTACTCGACAGGTAAACCTTGGCATGCTATTTGGGGAAATCCATTTCACATCGCTGCTATTAAAAAGAAGAGGACTGGGCTCATGCATGCTCTCCCGCACGTTTAATAGGAGTTCCTTCCCTCTCTGGAGCGGAGACAGGATTGAACATATGCATTTCTTTTTGAAAGTGGAGAGGACGGGTCTTTTCAAAAACTCTGGAAAATCCTCCACTATACCTTTAAGAGACAAAAGAAATTAATCCTAAAAGTGAAACGAAAGCAGTTTTGCTAAACAAATCATTATTTTAATTCTACATTTTTTTTATTTTGATTGGTTGGTGGAATATTTAAATTTCCTCTTTGTTTTAAACAAACAGAATGGCTCGTTTCGCACCCTTTTATGATGACAGGGTTAAAACAGCGACATAACTGTTTACAAAAAATATATAAATAGGACTTCATCATATGAGTAACCTTGAAACCGTTAAAACTCATTAAAGATTCCTTCAAATAAGTTAATTTGCACGTAATCTGAGCAGGTAACAGGATGATGTCAGTGGAAACGGTCTACTTATCTCAAATCATGGAAAAATACATTTATTTCAGGAAAACTGACCTAAATATCTTTATTTTCTTTGCAGTGTTTGCTTTTCCTAAGGAAACCTCTCTCATTCATATTTAGTTACTTTAAGACAATTGTTTTATTTCCTACCTTGCTAACATGAAACAATTGTGTTAAAATAAAAAAATATGATTCAGTGAATGCCAAAAACGGTTGCAATGTGTTTTTCAGTGTGTTAATTGTAGCATCATGTGTGTTGTTAGCTTGCACCAAACAGAGATTAGCTCCTGGTCTGAATAAGTCCCTCTTGTCTTAAAATCCTTTAAAAGCAAGAATGAAACAGGCTTATTTGAGTGTTTTGCTTGTCAAAAGGATACATGGAAGAACTCAGCTCCTCAAGCTGTGGAGAAAAAGAATAATTGTGATGTTAGATCAATGTTTTACTGAAGCAGGAGGTTAGCATTCGCTTATGAAGGGGTAACTTAATCAGTACACGAATGACAGAGGGCTAGACATGAATAGCAAAACACTGTTAAACATTTCTGCATTCTCAAAGATAGATTAGCTTGATACAATCCTACTCTACTGTAGCTGAGGTGTGCAAAAGCCCCGCAAAAGCATAAATGGACAGCAGACACAAAAAACATTTTGCAATGCAAAATTGTGGCAGTGGCTGTTTTTTTTTTTTATTTGGCGATTGCTCCCTTTTAGTTAACTTGTGTTTGTGCGCTTGTCTCATTTTTGTCTCTTCTGTATTTTTTCATATTTGCTGCAGTGGGCATCCGGACTGTGGGGGAAACGTGCCGGATCAGTCTAGAGAGGAGCTGATGAAGCCAGATTTCACCGGTGGGACTAAGGCTATGTTCACACTGCAGGCCTTGATGCTCAATTCCGATTTTTTTTGCAAAATCCGATTTTTTTTGCGTTGCCGTTCATATTTTCAAATATATGTGACTTGTATGTGATCTCCTGCGTGAACTGCATTCATTCAACGCAAGTGTTCCGTATGCGCAGTAGAGGACGCAATGACATCACAGGTCAGCATGCTCTGCGTTTCTGGAAGTAAACATGGATGGTAGTGCCGGCGTGCATCTAGCGGTCTTTTCCAACCATAAAAACTCAATCTTTTCAATATGGTTAAAACATAAATACTGCTCTCCGCATCATCGTCTGCCATGGTTGTTGTTTTTCTTGCCAGAGAAAGACGCAGAATAGGGACATTTGTCGGGTATTCATGAGGTTCAGGTCGGATGAATCCGACCTGGCTGTTCACACACAGGTCACATTTGAAAAGATCAGATCCGTATCGGATTCAGGACCACATAGCCAAGTGGCCTGGGTTGCATTGGAAAAAAATCGGATTTGGGTCACTTCAGGCTGCAATCTGAACGTAGCCTAAGAGAGCCAGTGGGAACTAAGGTTAGAACCAAGGATGGGTGATTGGACAAATGTTTTATTCTTTTTTGGACTTCAAAGCCTAAGACAAAAAAAAAAAAAAAAAAAAAATGCTGTTTCAATGGTACACATTTTCCTCCAGTGCCACCGTGCAGCAGTTTTATCCACTTACACTTGAGACAGAAAGAAAGAAATTATCCAAGTTTTTTTGTTTGGTTTGGTTTTTAAGTGTGTTCACAGTCTGCTCTCTCTGTTACGGATTTAATCTTAACCCAACAAATAAAAAATGGAAAAACAAAAAAGTTTCTCTTCTCCTCCAGTGAAGCTGCGCACATTCCCCCCAAAAAAAAAAAAAGAAATCTCCCGCCGCAGTCTTCAATCTGTTTGCTTTTATGCATTCAAATGAATAACGATAAAAAAAAAAATATATATATAATGTTTCATGACATAGAACTGGAAAAGAAGAAACTATTCCCACAGGATGGAACTTCTACATTACTGACAAGTAAACAACCATGTTTACCACCTTTGGGTTTTAGCAGTGGTTAGCAATATTAGCAGTGGTGCGGGGGACATGCTCGGCGGTGTGTGTGTGTGTGTGTGTGTGTGTGGAGGGGGGGGGGGGTCTGTCTTTGCCCACAAAGTCATCTAAACCAATACATCATCCATCGCATTTTCTTGTATTGACCTTTGGAACATTTTTACATTTTATTGCCCAACCTTAGTTAGAACCAATCAGATACCTACAGATGTGATGTAAAAACACCTTTAAACAGAAAAAAGAAAAGCTTTTATAGGAGCCACTTTACAAAGATAAATTCAGGATCATATAAGGCATCACTTTTGAATTTTTTTTTTAATCTTTTTTTATTTCCTTTTGAATTTTGATTTTCAATTCTATTTTTTATTATTAATTTATTATATTCTTTAGCTAGTTTAGTTTTATTAGTTTCAGTTATACTTTACACACTGGAGGATAGAAAATAAATAAATAAAATTGCAGATAAGGGCAAAGTGCTGCAGCAACACAGATATACTGCCACCTGCTGGTGTAACAGAAACAACAACAAGACCTCACAAGGAAAAACTTTTTTTCCCCTTAGAAATCAGCTTGTTTTTATTTGTGCTCTTATTACATTGTTATTATTAGTTTTTGTTTTTTCAAGGTCTAGCTTTTCATTTAATTTGTTATTGAAAATGTTTTTTTTAATTTTAGCTTTTGTGATTTTATCGGCTTTAGTTAACAATAATAACCTTGTATTGCTAATCGGCTAACCTATTAACCATTTTTATCAACAAACTGATAATTATTGTAGAATAGATTTGTTTTTCTACAGAACTCTAGAGTGAGAAAGTTGCTCTTTGGCACAGTTGTGAATCGAACCCTTCCACTCCTTTTTCTGCCTTTATCAAAGGATAGTAGATTTTCCTGGAAAACAATATGATTCACCAAAAGATCTGAAATTTTTTTTAGCAATATGCAGAAATTTCAAAGAATTAGATTTTTGATTTTCTTTTTTAAAGAAGAAGCCTTACATTAAGAAGTAGCCTGTCCATGTTTGTGTCTGAGGCCATTTTCCTCTGATCCTCAGGCATTTCATCAACCTCACCATAAAGGTCAAAGTGCAATCGTGCCAGCTTCTCCTGCATCTCTCTGACATGCTCCATCTGATCGATGGAGCACTCATTGCCTAAGACAGAACAGAAATAGTGTTATTGTCTGGATCAAAACATGAAGGTGACATGCTTCCCCCTTTAGCTCTGTTACCAAAAGCTTGTAGTTTCCCTGAGTGGAAGTCGTTGAGGAGGCTGAGCAGACCGTTTTCCATCTCTTGCACGTCTGAGACATCAGTCAGAAATGAGTGCTGGACGATGGGAGCTGCCTGGCCCTGGTTCTGATTCAGTTTACCTCCTAAGCCCTGTGGATATCTCACTTTATCTTTCATGCCCCTAATAAAACAACAGGAATATGAGTTAATACGGATCCGGACATTTATTTGTGTCATTTCTGTGGATAAAAGGACAAAACTCGACCTCCTGCTCCTGTTTTTCTGGCCGGACATGCCGCCCGTATTGTGGCTGTAGCCCACATGCCTTCCCCCGGAGGCAGCGTTACTCTTCCGGCTTGAGCCTCCGATCTGGGCCGCCGAGTTGGTGGAAGTCCGGGGACTCTTACGCTTCAGCTTCCGCTCCTCCATAACTTCATCCTACGATGCGATCCCCTCTTAGCGATGGCGGCTAAAACCAACCACAGGCAACAACAAACAGTTAGCTAAGTCAAGCTGACAGTCAACTCAACATTTTCTGCTGTTATTACATCATTTATAGACGTAACGTTTCATTTACAGCTTCCAAAGTCACGCCGAATAACATATTCTGATACAATATCAATGAATAAACATAAGGAATACAATTAGAGGTTACACTAAGCAAGAAAGAATGAAATAATTACTTAATAAATACATGTTTACAACGTACCACGCTAGGCTACCCATGTAGCTTCCAGCTGTGAGCTGTGAAGCTTCCTGATTGGACGCTGAGTACCGGAAGTGCATGCCTGCTGAGATATGCGTCCCCAGTCGCGGGAGCGCGCCTCGCTCTGTACTACTGCATATCGACGAGCCAAAACGGATTAAAATGACCAATGGAGCTACTTGTTGTTATATTAATGATATAAACACGATTAAATACGGAGCCCGGGAGAGCTCACTTTAAGTTATATTTATTTTCAGGTCGTGATAATTTGTGAGCACGTTTCCTTTAATTGAGCCCTCGAATTAATAAAACGTGACCACGTTTTCATTTAATTGAGCACTCGAATTAATAAAACGTGAGCACGTTTTATTTTAATTGAGTCCTCGAATTAATAAAACGTGAGCACGTTTTATTTTAATTGAGCCCTCGAATTGATAAAACGTGACCACGTTTTCATTTAATTGAGCACTCGAATTGATAAAACGTGAACACGTTTTCATTTAATTGAGCACTCGAATTAATAAAACGTGAGCACATTTTCTTTTAATTGAGTCCTAAATCTCGCTCACATTTAGTCATTTCCGACATGCTCTCACCGCTGCTGCCTGTCGTAACTTCTGTTACTCAAGCTGTTGAGATTCGGCTATTGTCTGCAACATTACAGTTCAACATTGGTAAGTGATACCGTGGTTAATTAAAGCCTTTTTAGTTTTCATCGGTAGGTGATGACGATAGCGAACTTTTACTCTTTGTAGCAGGGTCACCTGTGGTGTCCCGCCAGCTATGGAGCCGACTGCTGATAGCCTGAGGGACTTCTTGAAAGATAGAGGTGTCAGCGAAGAGTTTATTCAGAAACTCGAAAACGAAAAGGTAGGCTATGTGATGTGGGCTGCAAGAATATGTTTAACTTCATTAATGTTATTTGTATTCGAGTAACAGGTGGTCTGACTGACTGGGTTAGAAATAGGCTAACCCTGCTAATGTGTTTCGTTGATGTCATGTCGTTTGCAGTGTTAACGTAGATCAATGCAACATGTTTATGCCATTACAGTAGCCTATGATAGCCTATTTTAGTGCATGAACCTCATCCAAAGCCATGCAGAGAGGGGATGCAATGAGCTATATTATACATTGGAGTGCTAATCGCCAGCTGTTAGAACGAGTTGCTTTGAAGCCACCAGCTGCCCTATTGGTACTCCATATTTCCCCCCAGTAACTAGGGAATATGTGCGCTACAGCATCGAATAACGAGGATTTTCTCATGTTCAGGGGGGGGTGTTGTGCGAAAAAGTGAATGTCTGCGAGAATCTGATTACGCTCGCGGGAGCGCGCACCGCAGCCTGCTGAGCGATAGCGTAAACCTGCTTTTCTCTGGATTAAACGGTCCTGACATGCAGATACACACAGTTGCTTTATAATATAGGCCTAATTAAATTATAATATAGGCCTAATTAAAGATTCGAAAGCTTAACGTTTGTCACATAGCGGCAGTTACGTGATAGACATGTTTCTATACTCGGTCTGATGACTTTGTGTAGCCCTGACATTGGAGACTACACTACAATAAATATGATTTACTGGAGGGTTTTCAATAAAGATATGACAACTTTTGCAACGATCCTCGTGACTCTGCATTGTGTTTTTTTCTGATCTGGCCGTATATAGCACGAGTTTCCCATGTTTCTATGTGTTTTTGCAGTTTTCAATCGGTTTTCACCTGTCAAAAATTGATTGAAGGCACAGTATAGTCACTCAAAGGTTATTTCTACCTAAATATGACTAGATTTCCTTCAGGAGATGCATGATTTAAAGATCTGAGCTCACAAAACAGCTTGGAACTCTTTTAAAGGACCATTACAACACAAAATAGCCATTTTGACTTGCAAAAAATGTATTAAAGCCCAAATACTGTCACTCAAAGGGGATATCTGCCCAAATATGACTTGATTTCATTCAGAAGCATCTTATTTTAAATAGAACAAGTCCTTTTTAGGCAAAAATCACCTTTCTTCAACCACATTTGGCCTTTAATCAATTTCTAGCAGGGTGTTTTGACCTCAGCCGACTTGCTAGAAACTGATTAAAGCCCAAATACTTTCATTTAAAGGGGATATCTGCCCAAATATGACTTGATTTCATTCAGAACCTCCATAATTTAGAGATCTGAGCTCACAAAATAGCTTGGAACTCTTTACCATACCACACTAAAAAGCCATTTTGACTTGCAAAATGGCTTTTTCTTATATGATTTCATTTCAAGAAATGCTGGGAAATGGCATGAAATCAAGAAGTTGTTCAATCTCTTAAAAATACTACTTTACTGCCATAGAAATGCCAAGAAAAAAAAGTCAATTCATAAGTGTTGGTGCAAAATAATTGTATTTCTTTTAATCTAAAGAGATTTATATAGACAAATGAATGAACATGAAATATGAAAATTTGAAAAACAAAGATATAACTATTTACATATCAGAGGGACAATAGCAACACATGCTACTGGCAGGCCTTTAAATGAGAGTATTTGGGCTTTAATCAGTTTCTAGCAAGTCGGCTGAGGTCAAAACGCCCTGCTAGAAATTGATTAAAGGCCAAATGTGTTTGAAGAAAAGTGATTTTTGCCTAAAAAGGACTTGTTCTATTTAAAATAAGATGCTTCTGAAAGAAATCAAGTCATATTTGGGCAGATATCCCCTTTGAATGACAGTATTTGGGCTTTAATACATTTTTTGCAAGTCAAAATGGCTATTTTGTGTTGTAATGGTCCGTTAAAAGAGTTCCAAGCTGTTTTGTGAGCTCAGATCTCTAAATTATGGAGGTTCTGAATGAAATCAAGTCATATTTGGGCAGAAATAACCTTTGAGTGACTATACTGTGCCTTCAATCAATTTTTGACAGGTGAAAACCGATTGAAAACTGCAAAAACACATAGAAACATGGGAAACTCGTGCTATATACGGCCAGATCAGAAAAAAACACAATGCAGAGTCACGAGGATCGTTGCAAAAGTTATCATATCTTTATTGAAAACCCTCCAGTAAATCATATTTATTGTAGTGTAGTCTCCAATGTCAGGGCTACACAAAGTCATCAGACCGAGTATAGAAACATGTCTATCACGTAACTGCCGTTATGTGACAAACGTTAAGCTTTCGAATCTTTAATTAGGCCTATATTATAATGCAACTGTGTGTATCTGCATGTCAGGACCGTTTAAAGGAATAGTACACCCAAAACATGATTAGCCTTCATTTTCTACTCACCCCCATGCTGAACAACACTCTGGAGTACTTTTTTGATATCTCAAATGCATCTGGAGATCTGGGAGGCTTCTTGCTGTCTGCTGACATTCAAATAATGGAGGTCCATGGCGCCCGAGGCAGAAAGGTCCATAAAAGTCCACAAAAAACGTGTCAATATTCCTCCATACTGGTCGTCCAATGTATTCCAAGTGTCCTGAGTGGGTAGCATCCAGAATTTACTCGAAACAAAGTCATTTAGAATGTTTTTAGAGCATAAACAGTAGTGTATAGGATTTCCTGAAAGCGCGCACATGCGCCATTACGACGCTACGGAAGCCGGCAGACCAAACCAGATGAAAGTGCGCATTCAGCGTCTGCTCTTCCAATAATGCAAGCGTAGAAGAAGAAATGTGCCGTTTACCTGTGCAAAGAAAGAAACAACGAAAGAAAAATGTCTGAGGACTTCAGTGTTGAGGAAGAGCATGAGTTCTTTGCCGAGCTGAATGCGCTGGTTTGGTCTGCCGGCTTCCGTAGCGTCGTGAGCGCGCATGTGCGCGCTTTCAGGAAATCCTATACACTACTGTTTATGCTCTAAAAACATTCTAAATGACTTCGTTTCGAGTAAATTCTGGATGCTACCCACTCAGGAAACTTGGAATACATTGGACGAGCAGTATGGAGGAATATTGAAACGTTTTTTGTGGACTTTTATGGACCTTTCTACCTCGGGCGCCATGGACCTCCATTATTTGAATGTCAGCAGACAGCAAGAAGCCTCCCAGATCTCCAGATGCATTTGAGATATCAAAAAAGTACTCCAGAGTGTTGTTCAGCATGGGGGTGAGTAGAAAATGAAGGCTAATCATGTTTTGGGTGTACTATTCCTTTAATCCAGAGAAAAGCACGTTTTCGCACAACAGGGGCTTAAAACTTTTAAAATGTCAAATGCCATATCCTTTTATGTTATGTTCTAAAACTATCAAGTACTGAGAAATTCATGTGCTGAAATATTTTGATATATATATATATATATATATATATATATATATATATATACACACACTGGGAGCTTAATGCAGGATACATTACAATAACATCACTTATTTAAAAGAAAAACCTTTTACTTAGAGTTACTATAAATAAGTTATTTGCCAAAAAAAGGCAAGAACAAAAAATAATAAATAAATAAATAAATGCATTAATTAATAAGGTATTATTAAGTTATTTAACAAAAACCGGCTGCTGCAGCCACCAAAACGGTGTCAGTAAACCTGGGAGTCGCTCGGGAAGCCTACTGGCATGACAGCCGGACTGTCATCATGGTGGTCGCTGCCAATATGCTGCCAACGGTGGTGCCCGCTGCCGGCAGATGCTGCCATCGGAGAGGCTGATTGTGGCTGCTCATGGGCGGTTCTAGACAGGGGCCAATGGGAGCCAGTGCCCCTGTAAATCATGTCCTGGCCCCTGTACTGAAGAAATAATGCTTATAAGAAATTATAATGATGATATGCGCTGGAACAGACTTGGTTACTAATGGGTCCTTTGGATCTATTTCATTTTTTTCCTTTACTAATTATTTAAAAACAGTAAGGTGATAGCTTCAGTCGTATTGAGATAGGATCCCATTTTTCATCTGCTAAATGTTTTTTTTCAAAACAAATAAAAAAAGGTACTAAATCAGATTTAATAAATATGTAAAATTCCTAAATTATGAATGTATATTGACCTCATAAGAAATACAATTTTTATTGAACCTAATTGAAAAGAAATTTCACTTCATACAGCTCTCTTAATATATTTAAATCCCTTGCCCTGTTTTTTATTTCATGCTTTTCTGTGCCCCCATGAAAACACGCTGGCCCCCTCCTGGCTCCCTGGTGCATTTGGTCTAGATCCGCCACTGCGGCTGCTGCCGGCAGAGCTTGCCATCGGAGAGGCCGATGGTGGCTGCTGCCGGCAGAGGCGACTTATTGGCAGATAAAGTACTCCGTTCCATCAAGTAAATGTGACATTATATATATATGTGTGTGTGTGTGTGTGTGTAGTTTCATGTTTAAAATGACAAGAAATATGAAAAAGCTTATGGTCGGCAAGTTGTAGTTACTCTCATATGACAGCAGATGGCAGTGAAAGCCCAAATTCATGAGATTAAATGTTTGAAGTCAATTTTTAAACGTCTGTCCAACAATATTTTTTTTTTTTTTTTTGAATCATCACTGGCCGGTCTAAACATATTAAAGGGATAGTTCGGTATTTTTGACATGAATCTTTATGGCATCCCCATCACCAGTGTTATGCAATCACACTGACTTACCCCTGGCAGCGTCCTGTGAGCAGAGTTCTCGTCCAGTTTTGGTCAAGCCGAAAGTAGTCCGGCAGGTTTGCTAGACCCAGCGAAATAAAACGTTTCTCTTCCCAAAACATTATGTGTTCAAAAGAGTGATATTTTTGCATCCCAAAAACGTTGTAGTGGAAAGTCACACGTCGTTATCACTTGGTCCTATTTTCTCTCTGTTCGTATCAGTGCGCGCCGTCATTCAGACAGCGAGCTCAACAACAGCCAGATGCATGTCTCCCTCCGCCTAGCTCCTAGCTGGGCGGAGGGAGACATGCATCTGGCTGTTGTCAGGTTAGTAGGCCCTAGCTGTCTGAATGACGGCGTGCACTGATACGAACTGAGAGAAAATAGGACCAAGTGATAACGACGTGTGACTTTACCCTAACCCTAATTAGTTGTGAAATATTCCTCCTTATGTTTTCTTTATCATTACACAACTTTTTCAGCATTTGATTGCCCCCATCCCAACTTTTTTGGAAACGCGTTGCTGGTATCAAATTCACAATTAACATATATTTTCCAATGAAATGGTCAAATTTGTCATTTTCAACATGTCTGTGCCCATTTTGCAGCTAAAGATGACCTTATATTTGCAGAATATTACATTTTGTTTTTATTCGCATTTCACAACGTCCCAATTTTTTCCTGATTTGGAGTTGTAGGCTATAGCCTGACAACAGGACTGGTTGTTTTGTCCGGTCAGCTGTGCTGATAACCAAAATGTTGAAGTAGCATCTGAAGCTATGATTTATTAGTTAATATTCAATGCTAACATTCTTCTTCCATGTTCTGTTCTTTCTCACAGATTGATCCATCTGTGATACCACTAATGAGTGATGGTGACTTGGCAGAGTACATTCCTAAATCAGGGGACCGAATAGCTGTGGTGGCCTTTTGTAGGCGATCCAGCACAACCAGTAATTCAAGAAGAGACCATATACTGACTCGACTGCGCCGAAGACTATCAGCACCAGGTGTGAAGCCTTCAAAAAATTCAACTTGGATTGGGAATAAGAATGCAGAAAAAAGAGAGAGGCGGATTGAATTAGGATGGATGGATTTTGATTCTAAGCAACAGCAGTACAAGCAGGTGAAGGCCATTAAAGGTGGAGGAACCAGACATTTGACCATTGATAAAAACCTAACAGTGGAGGAAGTAAGGGTCATGGCAGAAAATATTTTTTTTCCAGATGGGGCATCAAAGAACAAAAAGCTCTCATGTTACCATTCTGAAATTCAGTCGTCACAGATTGAAGTGGAGATATCAAGCACTATTGAGCAACTGTACAACCTCAGTCGTGTTCGAATACTACGACTGTATCTCTGCACCAAGTTAAGGGATGTACAGATAGAAGAAGACATCCATCCCAAAACCCCGCAGAGCTCAACTTCAGTTGCAGATGTTGCTGAAAGTTCTTTTGAAGTCAGGCAGTACTTACCAGAACCAGATGACGACTATGTTGTCAACATCGAGATTCCCACAGACAATAACATGGACGACACAGTGGTTTGGACTGGCCAGTACACATTAGCAGGAAATGAAGCTTCCCCTGTTACAGTGTCTCTTGTTGTAGATAATATGACCCCTGCTGATTCATCTCCATTGGCACAGCCTGTCAGTGATCCTAAACCGCCTTTAAGCCAACCATTAGTTACAGGGGTGGAACCCACAGTTGCAGGAATAGGCCTACTGCACACTATCTCTTCAACAGCCAGTGAATCCTTGCCATGTAATTCTGTGTATTCCTCAGTTTTTGACCTGACCACTACTGAATCTCCTCCCCAAGACTCTTGGATGTTGCAGCCTCCTGTTGCAGACTCTTTCCCTGAGTCAGACAGTGACCATGTGCCCAGTGTCACGTTAATCATACGTAGAGGACACTGTCTCGCTGATCTTATCAAGGCATTTAAAGATCCTCTTGTTTTAGAGTCAGAGATCTACATTAAGATGCGATTGCCTAATGGTCAGCTTGAAGAGGGAGAAGGGATAGGATTGCTCCGTGATTGCATCACAGAATTCTGGACAGAGTTCTATGGGAGATACACAATGGGCCGTGATGCCAAAGTGCCTTTTATCAGGCACGATTTTCAAATTGAAGAATGGAAGGCTGTTGCTAGGGTGCTTGTTTTGGGATGGAAACGTGCTGGGTACTTCCCAGTGCAGCTAGCAGCCCCATTCCTGGAGGAGGTGCTGTATGGGTCTGCAGTTAGCAGCTGCAAGGATGGATTTCTACAGTATGTGTCAGATCAGGAGAGACAGATTCTTCTCAGGGCCTTGGATGACATTGATTCAGTCGAAATGGAGACTCTGCTTGATCTCCTTGATGTCCATGAGTGTCACCAGGTGCCAAATAAAGATAATCTTGTCCCATTACTCTCACAAATGGGTCATAAGTCTATAGTCCAAGCACCAATGTACATCATTGAATGCTGGCGCCCCGTAGTTGATACCTTAGCCCGCACTCTCCCGTTCGATGAGCTGCATAAACTGTTAGAGCAAAAAACAACAACTTCGAAGGCCGTGAAGGAGCTTCTCCAGTTCCCAGATGTGATGACCGCAACACAGCATGCAGTTGCTCGCCATCTGAAACGTTACATTGTGGAAGCTGACCATCAAACTTTACAAAACTTCCTGAGGTTTTGCACTGGCTCAAATTTGGTTGGGCATTCCATTAAGGTTGAGTTTACTGAAACATCTGATTTTCAGCGCAGGCCTCAGGCTCACACATGTGGGTGCATTCTTAAATTGCCTGTTGGTTACTACAATTACCCAGACCTCAGGAATGATTTTAATAGTGTGCTGACTAGTTCTGTGTGGGTAATGGATATAGTGTAGATTGTCTCATCAGCTACATAATGTCAGTTTGCAGTTCTCAATAGTTTGGTTAGCTTTATGAAAAACTGCCATGTCTCAAAAAAGGTGACAAGTTGGTAAGCTGTTCTGATACTAAATAACTCAGGTTATTTATTTGTTAAATATAATAAGTAAACTGAATATGTGCAAAACATTTTATTTTTGAATGACACATTTTGTAAACATTCCTGGATAAAACAGGTGTCAACTTTCTTAAGTTCTTGCACAAGTGTTTAAAACAAGCAGTTGTGAATAACACATTTACAGGTTTTAGTCTAGTAAAGAAACAACAAATCTTATTTTGTTTTATTATGCCTAAAAATTTTTTTTTTTTCTGAACCATGTGCAATGTTTTACATATGGGCAGATGTTTTTTTCAATTAAGAGCAAACATTTTTAACAGGGTTCTTTATATATTTAGTATGCCCTGTATTCCTTGTCATGATGAGGAACTGTTACTTGTTCAACTGAAAAGCAGTGCGTTTTAAACAATAAATGTTGTTTTTGCAGAAGTCATCTTATGTGTACTGTGCTTTTTATTACTGTATTTAAGCTGGGGGATACATTATGTGTTCAAAATAAATAGATTCAGATCCTAGGCTAATTTTCTTCAGATTTGCTGTAAACACAGGTGAAAGAGATGTTTGTCTCTCTCTACAGCCACCTACTCAATTAGTAGTGGACGAACAAAGTCCCTCAAAGTAATGTACAATTCCTGTGCCTGTGGACAGTTTGAAGAAAACTCCAATCCCCTCTCCAACATCACATTTGCGCAAAAATCAAATATTTCAGGATCGCATGGAACAGAACTTAAGAATGTGCAGTTTTCCTTACATACAGCTAAATCGTCTGCATTAACAGGCACGAGAAGATCATCAGCTCCCCACAAATGTGATGCCACATACATCAGATCAGGTATGCCAGACGGCACACTCGCGTTTGTAGAGGGGCGGATGCGATGTGCGTTCCAGATGTTCATGATGCTGTTTAACTCGTCCTGAAAAAAGGAAATATACATAGGTCAGTGATATTTAGAATCCCAAGAAAATGTTTGGATGAAAGAAATGTGCCGTATTTTCACAACTATAAGGCGCACATCAACTAGGGTGACCATATTTTCATTTGGGAAAACCAGGACACCTTGGAGCGGGGGGTTTGATTGAAAGAACAAATGTCTCATCATCGGGATTTGCTCCGTGATGAGAGGAAATGTTACTTGTTACTAGTTGTTTTAATGGTTATAGAGTCAGATATGTGGCGGTAATGTTTGGTTTATCTAAAGGTTTTTATCTGTTACTGTGTAAATGGGTTTGGCTGTAATTTAAGGACACATTCTAAGAAATCTGCAGAGTGGGAACTATAAATCTGATAGTTTAATTTTTTTATTGTTTTGCACAATATGCTTAACTAAGTATTTTTTTTTGTTGAATATTAGAGATTTTGCAGATACATTTTGTAGATACATTGTTTAGATTTAGTTATATCTCTCTACGTCACACAAATGAGGACCTTAGAAAAATGTATAAGAATAACATAATAGGGAAGGGTTAAAATATAAAAAATAAAATTCTGTAAAGTGTTTTAACAATATAAAACTGGAGAATAAATAACCAATATGCAACTATGGACATTTTTACAGTAATGGATATTTGAAAATAGCAGCAACATCAGAGATGTGCAGAATGACAGCAGCAGGTTATTTAACTGACTAAGGTTTCTATCATTACATTTGATTTGATTTGTTCCTGCTCCCGGTGGTTGGAACCTTTATTCCACTCTGGATTCTTGTGAGTGTAGTCTTTGTTCAATTTAACTTTTTAAAAAATAAATAAATAAACAGTTTTGAAAAGCTCGGTATTCATTCTTTTCCTGCTTTGTGTGTCACCTTTCACGGTTGCTAAGCAACAGAACATACGCCGGTAAAACCCGCCGAAGGGTGGACCTGTTAGAATTTACAGCCAAAACTCTTCCAGTCTCCTTATTTTCAAGGACTTCAAAGGATCCAGTCTAGGTAGACCGCGTCCTTGGAGGATGCAGCCCAGGTTTTCGAACAGAGCCTCTGATTAAGAGCAGGGCTGCCCGCACTGACGCGGCTCAGGGATTACGTCACACGGAGCGTTGTGCGCAGTGAAATCAGGACATTTCCTTACTTTCTAAAAAAAAAAAAACCCGGGACAGGACGTGAAATACGGATATGTCCCGGGAAATACGGACGTTTAGTCACCCTAATATTTTCCCCTCAAAATGTGCGGTGCGCCCTATGTGTGTTGTAACTGCGACTTTTGAGACCACCTCATTGAGGAGATGATGAAAGAGTGGCTGAGGGAGGTCTATGTGAGGAGACCAGGTGGTTTTTTTTTTTCACTCATCACAATCGCTGTTAATCTGACTCCATGCGTGCCCATCTCACAGCTGATGTGAACGCGCTGCTGCAGCGAGAGATGGAAAAATTGAAGTTTTGCTGCTGGACGCGCCGCATCAACCGTTTTTCATCTAAAGAATATAAATCTTGCAGCTATATTTGCTGTGATCAGTGGGAGTAAAGTAGTTTTAATATGTATTTAAGATGCGCAGTAAAACAAAATCACTTCGGACGGTGAAAACTTTCCTTTACAAACAATGAAGATGCTCTATATCTCTAGGCTATTCCGTCCCTCTCTTTATTTATATCAGAGGTTATCTAATATATTACTGTGCATTCATTAGCCTACTTACCTTAATGGGTCCCATGAAACACAGCTGGATTAACGCCTTGTCCAGATAGTCCCCTGTGAAAAGACCTTCATCCTTCAGCTCGCTAAACATCTGGATCCAGTGTTCAATTCCTTGTCTTCTCATCACTCCCCACCAACTTTCTATTCTTTGGTTAGCAGTGCTTTCTCCTGTTAAAAAACTTGATTGTCCTGCTCTATTGTCTTCATCATTCCGTCTCAAGTACACCTGCATGTCTCTCAAGACCACATTCTCGGTTCCCATGTCAGTGCGCAAAAGTCTGGGACAGCCCCCCATCCTTTCTATCGCCTCTGCATAGTAGCCCCCAACCACACATGGATCACTATTTGTAAAGGCGGCCCTGAGCCAAATAATCTTTCTGCTATATCCATCAATGCAACCATTTATGCATATGCCTAAGGCTTGAGCTTGTCATAAGAATCGATGTGCCATATGAAATTAGGCCCACGGGAAAAGTATTGTCTGCGTCTCAGTCGTCGTCTGCGGCGGGACTGAGCGCTTTCAGGGTCAACTGCGCTGAGAATGATGCGCACATCTTCTTTTCTCACGCGCAAACCATGTTCTATACATTTATAGTACATCCAGCGGTACCCATGTAACCTCCCAGAGCCTTGGAGTTCGTTCAAAATGAACTCTATAATATGACCTAAATCGTCATACTCACGACGGCGGAGACGGTTCGCCCTCAGCATCCTTTTTAATGTGCTTAAACTCATAACCATCCCATGCTGGGTGGCTAGAGTTCTCAATATTTCCTTATATGCCATGCCCAAACCATGGTATATCCTGACCAGATCCATCTCAAAGGCTACGAAACGGAAATGTAATCTATTCGACCAGGAGTTTCCACTATCTTCTGGATTGATTACTATAGCCTTTTTGTGCACACAATTTATTCGAGCGCACGTTTTAATTACTCGTGGGTGCGTTTTAGTAGATCGAGATCTCGAATATACTATAACGTGATCATGTTTACATGTGCCAAGACAATATTGAGTGCACGTTTTACATATTGCTGCCACGTTTAAGTATATCGTGCACACAATATTCTATAACCATGTTCACTAAATTGTGCTCTCGTTTTAATAAATTGTGCCCTCGTTTTAGTAAATCGTGCGCTCGTTTGAGTAAATAGTGCACTCGTTTAATAAATTGTGCCCTCGTTTTATTATGCTTAAAATGAGAGCTCAATTTAGTAAAATGAGCTCACACTATAGTAAAACGAGAGCACTATATAATAAATTGTGCCCTCGTTTTACTATGCTTAAAATGAGAGCTCAATTTAGTAAAATGAGCTCACACTATAGTAAAACGAGAGCACTATATAGTAAATTGTGCACACGATTTAGTAAAACGAGGACACAATATAGTTAAACGAGCGCACAATGTAGTAAAACGAGCGCACAATGTAGTAAAACGAGCGCACATTCTCTCAACATGCAAAACTTTTTGCGATGACCCCTCTAGGGCTCCGTAATTAAATATTCCTCTCGTGGGAAAAAATTGTGGTTATTAGGCAGATTCATTTACAAAAGTACGGTTATTATGAACAACATTAAATCCAAAGATTTTGTGCTAGGCAGGGGTGGAGCTAGATGGGGGGCCATGGCCACCTTTAGCAAATCATTCCCACCCCTATCATTCCCCCCCCCCTTTAATACAGACGGTGGCAACAGTAATACTCTAAAGTAGAATATTCAAAACATTTTATTTTTTGTGGTTAATTATGCACATCAATATACTAACATCAAAGATGATAAATACAGAATTCATGCTATTTTCAGAACTAGATTTTCTCTTATAAGGGGTAAAGAGAAAAGTATGTGTCTCTATAAGTCATTCAGGAGTCTTCAGTGAAATCAAAGATAAATACATTTTTTTATAAAAACTTAACAAATAATCAATTTATGTAGATATAAGTGCTTGTAAATATTAATTTTATGCAGAATGTTTATTGATACAAGTAGGTAAGTAATGAGAATGATGATTGGTTTACACCCCAGAACGTAAAACTGAGTTTTATCCATTATACCTTTTACCTACAAATTACGGGTGTTTAAATTTATGCATCTATTTGTTAGCAAAGGATGTAGGAAACTATAGTTAGTCATTATTTAGAAAATATGGATGTTTTGCTCATTAATGTTTCTGTTGGAACAGTGTAGATGAGGTTCTGGTTCCTATCCGCTTTCGGCCTCCCCTCAGTGTACATTGGTTATTGCCTGGCCACCCTTATAAAAATCTTTTAGCTATGCCTCTGGTCCAAAGTACGGCTGATTGATTTGTTGTAGTCTCCTGTTCTTCACACACAACAATAAACAGTGATAGCCGACGTGAGTTCTGAAACTGCAAAGCTTTGTCTTAAGCACATCTACACAGCACAGCGTTCACAGAGCAGTGTGATGCTTCGGATAGCTATGGTGCATTCAGGAGCATGGGACATTTCATACTTACAAGGAAAGAGGCATAAACGGAAGAGAACTTGACTCATACAATAATGTATTTATTCAGAAACATTGTGGGCTTTCTTACAATACTGAATGCTCTATAATTGTATTTCTGTTATTTTGTCATGATGCACATCTGCTAGCTTTTTTTTCTAAAAAAATGTATAATATTACAGCAGCAAATTATCAAAGTCTTCCAAAAGCCTGTTTAAAAGCTCCAAATGAGGCTTCAGATCATACAGCAACAATTACGCTGTCATTGTTTTACAGGGCAGAATTTGCATTTTCTGTTCCAATTGGTTCCAATTGGTTTACATATTATCCGTGGCGTGAAATTACACTCAGAACATGCATGAAAGACAGGATGCAGGGAATTTTTATACACAGAATTGACAAAACAACAGCACATTGTTTTTTATTTAGCTAAAATGTTAATTAGTCTTTATTATGTTTAATATCCACAATGGAAAGAGTCCTGCAGAAGGAAATGTAACGTAGCCCAATAATCAGGTCTATTATGAAAGTGTTTCCATTTAAAGGAATAGTACACCCAAAACATGATTAGCCTTCATTTTCTACTCACCCCCATGCTGAACAAAACTCTGGAGTACTTTTTTGATATCTCAAATGCATCTGGAGATCTGGGAGGCTTCTTGCTGTCTGCTGACATTCAAATAATGGAGGTCTATGGCGCCCGAGACAGAAAGGTCCATAAAAGTCCACAAAAACGTGTCAATATTCCTCCATACTGCTCGTCCAATGTAATCCAAGTGTCCTGAGTGGGTAGCGTCCATAATTTACTCGAAACGAAGTCATTTAGAACGTTTTAGAGCCTAAACAATAGTGTATAGGATTTCCTAATAGCGCCCCCATGCGCGCTCACGATTCTACGGAAGCCGGCAGACCAAACCAGCGCATTCAGCTCGGCAAAGAACTCATGCTCTTCCTCAACACTGAAGTCCTCAGACATTTTTCTTTCGTTGTTTCTTTCTTTGCACAGGTAAACAGCACATTTCTTCTTCTACGCTTGCATTATCGGCAGAGCAGACGCTGAATGCGCACTTTCTTCCGGTTTGGTCTGCCGGCTTCCGTAGAATCGTGAGCGCGTATGGGGGCGCTATTAGGAAATCCTATACACTACTGTTTAGGCTCTAAAACATTCTAAATGACTTCGTTTCGAGTAAATTCTGGATGCTACCCACTCAGGACACTTGGATTACATTGGACGAGCAGTATGGAGGAATATTGACACGTTTTTGTGGACTTTTATGGACCTTTCTGCCTCGGGCACCATAGACCTCCATTATTTGAATGTCAGCAGACAGCAAGAAGCCTCCCAGATCTCCAGATGCATTTGAGATATCAAAAAAGTACTCCAGAGTTTAGTTCAGCATGGGGGTGAGTAGAAAATGAAGGCTAATCATGTTTTGGGTGTACTATTCCTTTAAGTCCGCCTGACTTCGTTGCTTATCTAAAAACACAACTTCCGTGCTCCTCACCCCATTTCCTGTTCATAGAGCTGACACTGCTGGGGAAGATTCTCTGTCATCCAGGTCATAGTCATTCCAAAAAAGTTAAAAACAAAATCAGTCCCACCCCCCCGCAGTTGTTTTGTTTTTAACTATTTTTTTTAATTGCTGTGAGATGTGCTCCCTGTGGTACTTCTACATATCTTGCTCTCTTTTTACTTTATTTTTATTTTTTTATTTTTTTTATGTGTCCTTGTTTTACAATATTCGGACTATTTTTTTGCGATTTTGCATAATCCAACAATTATTTCTTTAAAAAGAGGGTTGAGGGGAACAAAATAAAATTAATATGCTAAACATAGAAATAAAGCCCTATAAATGTTAGGATATCTATATATTCATCTTAAAAGATCCATTACTAGGTTATTTAATACATTTATTTTGATGTATTGAATAATAATGTATGAAATAATGATATGTTTTGTTTGATACATAAATACAAGTGATTATATATAAATATATATATGTACCATATATATGTATGCAGACAAATTGGATATATATACAGAATACAGGATCTATAACGGGCGTCACAGGGGTCTGTGGGCCTTGTTAATAGGGCTTCTAGCGGATTGGAAGAAACTGTTCTTGTTGTGTCAGGTTTTAGTCCTGATTGACCGCAGCCTCCTGCCAGAGGGAAGATACTGAAATATTTTATGGCTGGGGTGCGAGAAATCAGCCATATCTTTCCCTGCATGTCTCAGAGTATATATATAAATATTAGAATAAATGCATACATTTAGTAGAAAAAATGACTGAACATGTGATGAACTAAGCTAAAACATATTTATAGTCTGTGTATTATTGTCTTTCATGGGTATATTTCAGATATTTGATGGTTTCATTTTCGATAAATCACTGATTGATTATTTAATTTTGAATAAAATTTGAATTTGGAATAAAACTAGACTGAGTCAGTATAAGTTAATTTAAGTTCTCTCTAAAAACAGAGTAAGAAAAAGAGGAAAATGTACCTATTTTCTGATAATGGGACATTTTTTAAACAATATTATGTAAGATTTTAACACAATTTAAAACAAATTCTAAATGTTAAGATTATTTTATATCTTTGAGGCAAACTTATAATTCTTATATCTCTTGGACTTAAGTACAACACATAATCTGTGCTTTTCTGTCTTAAATATTAGAAAATGTGAGCAGTTTTGACAACACTGCTAAAATGAAAAAAAAAAAAGTTATCATGTTACAGGACCATTATTAGTTATAGTTCAACTACAACGCTGGCAGCTGCATACTTCTGTAGGAATGGGTCAGGAATCAACTAAGGCTGTAGAGGCACCACA